TGGTCCTGGACTTCGTGTACCCGCAGCCGCAGTGTCACCAGCCCGACGAGCGCCCCGCGGTGGTGAAGGACGTGCACTACCTCTACCTCTCCACCATCCTGTCCGCCGTCACCCTGGTCACCATGTCCGCCGTGAGCTGGCTCACGGAGCCGCCCTCCGCGGAGAGGGTACATGGGGTTTCCGGACCCGCAGAGACAGGGAGGGCCTGCAGCGGGCCTTAGGGGGGCTTGGCTGCGGCTCAGCCCGCAGGTCAGAACCCCCTTTCCCGCTGCTTCTATCGGCCCGTGACGGCTGGCAGCTCTGGGGGTTATCCTCTCTGAGGTCACTGAGCAAAAGCACAAGCATCTGTCCAGCATCTCCAGCCACGCTCCCCATTCTCCCCGCTCTCCTGCGAACCCAGAGGTCCCGTGGCCTGACCGTGGGGCGGAGGGGCTGGCTGCTGGGCCCCACCCCCCAGGCGGGCTTGGCGGAAAGCTGGGGCTGGTGCGGGTCAGAGGCTCTGAGCCTGGGGAGGGGCGTGGAGCGAGGGGCTGGGAGCGGCCCCAGATGGGCAGGCTGAGCTCGGGGCCGGCAGGGCACAGAGGGAGGGACGACCACCCGTCTCACGGCCCCTCTGCTCCCCAGGTCAGTCGCCTGACCTGGTTCACGCGCCATGACCCCGCGGTCCACAAGGAGCAGGTGCCGCCGCCCACCGTCCTCCCTCCGAAGGGGCCGGCGGAGACCGGCAGCCGTGACCTGCCGCTGGAGGCCCTGCCGGGCAGCGAGGCCGGACCGCACGGTGAGTGCCCCCTCAGGGAGCCTCGGAGCGGCCGGGGCTTCCTGCTGAAGGGGCTGGCTCTTCAGTGGCTCCCAGCAGCTGCATTGGCTGAGGTTTCCCAGAAATCCCCCATTTCCATCTTCTCTTGAGAAACAGGGAGACCTGGCAGCACTGCCCACACGTGTGCCCGTGGCGTGTCTAGTGCTGTGAGCAGGCGCCCCGAGACCCCATTGCCCTCCAGTCAGCCACGGTCCACCGGCCCCCGCTGTCTCCACGACCCTGGCGGGGCTGTCCCCACGGCCGTTACAACCTCCTGAAGGCTATGGACCCATGCCAACCTACTGTGGGCACAAGGCCACGCATTCCAAGGAAAACGAGATTCGTTCTGGTGGGAGTGAGGGATCTCCGGACATGCTGACCACGCCCAGGGGCCTGACTCCTGCCCTCCACTGCCTGGCTCCAGGGGCAGCTGAGACCTGAGAGTGCTGAAAGGCCTGGGCACCCCCTTTCCCAGAGCAGAGCAGCTCCCAGAAGCAGGGTGCTAAGCGCACCTGCCAGGAAAGGTGCCAGGGAACGTGCCAGGGAAGGTCAGATAGTCCTGATCACAGCGTGTGGGAACGCCCGGCGAGGCCCTGCCCTTCCCTCCCCTCCCCCCGGGGGACGCGGCCTCCCTGACGGCTGGCTCTGGGCTCTGCAGGTGGGGCGCAGAAGCAGAAGCGGCAGTCCCGCGCCCTGAGGGTGCTGCTCTGGCTGTGCGGCATGGACGGCAAGGGCGCTGCGGAGCCCAGCAGCAGCGCGGAGCTCGCCATCGCGTCCCTGGAGGAGCGCCCCCTGGTGAAGGCCCTGCTGGACATCAACCTGGTCCTCTGCATGGGCTGCGGCGTCTTCCTCTGGGGCTACTTTGCTTAGTGTGGGGAGCGGGCTGCCTCCATGGTGTCCGGTGCCCCTGGTAATGGGGGGAATAAAGCTGTGTTTACCTCGAGGCTCACGGGGATCTGTGGGCCATTTTTTACAGACACTTAGCTCCTTTCTTCTAAAAAGGCATGAAGGCTGGGAGCTGGGAGCCGGAGAGCAGTGTAAAAGCTTCCTTGTCTCCAGAAGCTGGTTGTTCCCCTTCCTTCCCACATGCCACGGCCACGGCCACAGCTGCAGGGAGCCTGGCCCGAGGCCTCCAGCCACAGCAGCCACCCCTGACCTCTCCCGCTCCCGCCGACGTGCAAGGTGCCTGGTGGGCTGCATTCTGCCCCCCCTCCCCTCCTGCCGCCCCGCTCAGGCTTTCTCACTGATACTTACTCCCCATATGGTCTACGCACGTGCCTGGGTTGGTGCTGGAACCGCGCTGGCAAAGAATCGGGGAATCCTGTGCCTTCCCCGGTGCTGCTGTTTCTCCACCTGATTCCCACAAGGACGCTCCCCTAAACCTCCAGCCAGCATGGACGAACCTCGCTTTTCACGCTAATGCAAGTGGCGAGGGCTTTCGACCTGAGGAGCCCCCTTGCTTGGTGCGGAGCCCCGATTCCTCTGCTCAGGGTCACGAAGGGGCCTGGAGGGGCAGTTTGCCCCACGCACAGTCCAGAGCCATGACCGCCCTGACCTGAGAGCCCAGAGCCACGGCTCTCCCCTCTCCTGGGATAGGGGCGGGAGCCGTGCACTCCTGGCCTGATGGTGACGAGTGGGGCAGACTCTCAAGGGGCCCTGGTTTCCACACTCAAAGGCACACGGACACGGAACCCCGGGCTGCGCAAAAGCTGCTCGCTCGGTAACACCTTGATGCCCTCGACACAAGGGCAGTGGGCTTGCTCAGACCGTGGTCTGTCCACACCTCGCTTTTCCATGCTAATACAAGTGGCAGCTGTGGCCTGGGCAAGGGCCAGCCCTCCTGGGAAAGGGCCATGCACAAGTGAGGCCACTATGCAGACCCCCCCCCCCCATCAGTGAGAGCCTGAGCTGGTGTGGGCACGGTGCCATGGAGGCTGAGGGCCCCTCTCCTGGCCGCAGGGTGGGAGCGGGCGCTGCCCTGGATGGCCGGTCGCACTGAGCTCTGCGGCCGGCCACCAGTTGGGGTCAGACGTGAACTTCAGAGGGAGTTGTCTCCAGGCACGCCCAGGCCACCCCACCTCCCCTTGTCCGCCCCGCCCGGCCTGCCCGCCCCTCGTCTCTCCTGCTCTCTGGCCCCTCACTGCCCTTCCCAGACCCCGGGCAGGCGCTGAGGCAGGCCTGCCAGCTCCCTCTGCGAGCTCATCAGACTCACCGCCCCCACTCCCACCTCGGGCAGCACAGGGGCTGCACACAGTGGCCCTGAGCCTGACTGCAATCTCCTCCTCCCTCTGCCTAACGCCCTCCATCTTCGGGCCAACGCCAGCCTCTGCACACACACTTCCTCCAGGAGGCCCTGCTCCCGGCCCACCAGGCCGGCAAGGCCGGGATCACACTTCGCTGATGAGCTTACGTCCCCGGGGCAGCACGCCAGCCCTCACCGACGCCCAGCACAGTGCGTGGTGCCCGGATGGATGACCCTCAATCGGAATGTCTTCCGGCTCCGTCTCTCATGTCCACAGCCCACACCCCGCCAGTGTGGCTGTCCCCCCTGCCCAGGTCCCAGGGCCCGAGGAACCCCACTATTTCTGCAGTTAGTTCCTTGAGGTCTGAGCTTGAGCTGGTGGCCGAAGGGCTGACCAGCCACCGGCCTCTGGCTTGGGAACTGTGGACTTTGCTGCCCTGTGACCAGCTCTCCCTTTGGGAAGACCAGCCACCGGCCTCTGGCTTGGGAACTGTGGACTTTGCTGCCCTGTGACCAGCTCTCCCTTTGGGAAGGGCCACAGTCAGTCACCAGACTACGCCATGTGCTACCTTAACCTAAGCAACGTGTTCACCACAACGTGCCAACCTCAGCTCTCCTCTCGGGCTCTCCCCTTCCAGCCTGGCCCGCCCAGGCCATGCCCTGCACCGCGGCCACGGGAACAGAAAACACACATCGGACTGGCACACCCGTCCCTCACAGCCCTCTGCCCGTCACAATTTCCCAGCCAGGTAGAAGGTTCCAGCTGCTCCCACCGCCCGCCTCCCCGCTTCCTCACCGCCTCTGTCCCTCAGCGGCTGCACCAGCTGTCCCTTCTCTCAGAGCGGAGGCGCCACCTCCCCTCCGTGCTGTCCCTCTCTCTGCCCTCTGCACACCGCCTCCTGGTGCTCGTCGGCAAGGTCCCTGGCATGGAGGCCACGGGTGTCTGGCAGTGGCTGGTTCTCCAGGTCGGCCCGCGTATGGCAGAGTAAGCCCTCAGTAAGAAAGGTGTCAGACTGGTAAGAGCAAAGGAAGGGCCTCACCCATGGACCATTCACTGAGGGAACGGCCAGGCAGGAAGTCTCTGGGGCACCTGGTGGCCAGTGTCACTGCTGTGACCCGGTTCTCTTTTCCTTCAAACATCTCTGGCCAGTGAGACCCAGGTGGCCAGCCACTGAGACCCAGGTGGCCCAGCCACAGTGAGACCCAGGTGGCCCAGCCACAGTGAGACCCAGGTGGCCAGCCACAGTGAGACCCAGGTGGCCCAGCCACCATTCTTTGGTTAAGTACGCGCGCACACACGCACACACGCGCACACACACACACACACACACACACACACACCAGGTCTCCCTCCAAGAATAATCAAGTTTTCATATAAACCATAGAATATATTTAATTCAAATTAAACATGAAACTAGAATAATGTCGGTCCTTATCAAGTAGCAATTACATTGTTTTTAAAGAACAGTACATTTCTTTCTACATTCTGGCAATCCAACAAGGCACAGTACATCCAGTTGCCGAGGTGGCGGATCCAGCAGCCACCATCGACGCTCACGGTGTGAGGGCTGGGACAGACGGCACTGCACGCCAACGACTCTGCAGCAGGAACGAAGGTCCAGGGAGCGGGAGGCAGTTGCATAGTGAACGGTTGTTAAAGGGACAGTCTGCGCTGCTTCTGATCCACCGATGGCCGCCGGGGCCACACTGGCGCCGTGAGGAGCGCGGCAAGAGCGCTGCCTCCAGGCTGGCTTGCTTGGTCTGTCTGGCGTGATTCCTTTCCCAAGTGAAGAAAGCCAAGTCCTCGAGACACAGGTCATTCAGCTTCCGTGGCAGCACTGCTGCTGGCCGAGACAGGCGACGTCCTGCGTGGTCAGGCTCTGCCACGAAAGCTGCTCACTGTCTGTCTGCAGAGATCCGTCCGCCTGCTGCTCCCTCAGGGGGCAGGGCTGCGGGGCTTCCTCACAGGGCGGTGCTTTCTGTGTCATTGTCCATGTCCAACAAGAGGCGGCCGGGCAGGTCTTTGCTGTCTGAGTCTGAGTGCAGGTCGGGAAAGACGCCGCGAAGCGGTTCTGACACCCTCGAATTGGCGTCTGGACAAAAACACGAGACGTGGTGTCAGTGCATGGTCACACCGAGAGGCCGCCCGGGGGCTCCGAGGAGAAGCTGACCAGCCCATGCACACACGCTCCCCTACTAAAGGCACCAAGAGCCCGGGAAGGTGGTCCAGCCTCCGAGACCCAGGGGCAGCCGCGTGGCAGAGCCCACTCCCACCGGCCGGCCCTCTGGGAGCAGTGGCAGTCCCGCAGTGCCACCGCGCCAGCGGCTTTCTGAGGGAGGAAGGGAACTCTCTCACCAGCGCCCTGGCACTGCCGGAGGCCTCCTGAGCGCACCGGGGCTGTGGGGCTGCGGGGAGAGGCACCGGAGGCCGAGTTTCCTACTGGCAATGCTATGCCCTCCACCTCAGCACAGGAGGCACTTGGGCTGCGGGGCTGTGCCCTGCAGGATGCTCAGCAGCATCCCTGCCTTCTACCCACTGGATGCAGGTGGCACACGGCCCTCCCTCACTGTGACAGCCAGAGATGGCTCTAGTACTGCCAATTGTACCCCTGGTTGACGATTATTAAGGTAAATCACAAATCTTCTGCAAGTATTAATTTTCTGTTTGTAAAATGTACAATTCCACTTTTTCATGTCTTATTGTGTTCTAAGACACTCCTTTATCAACATGGCCTATGCATGGCCCTCTTCCAGCCACTGCCCCTCACTCCCATGCTCACAAGACACCTCGGCAATCACAGCCCTCTTCCTAGCGGGGCGATGCATCTCCATCCACTCACGCACAAACACTTGCTGAGCACCTGCCATGGCCCGGCACGCCCTGCCTGTGAGGACACAGTAGTGAGACACAGCCCTAAGGAAGCCCTGGCCGAGCAGGGCCCTGACCTGCAGAGGAGATGGGTTCTAGCCAAGGACAGAGCTCCACTAGGGGTCTCAGGGCTGGGGCGAGGGAGTGCTCAGGTTGCTGGGGTTCACTCTGCTGGGGAGAGCTCGTGTCGGGGAGCAGGGAGAGCAGGGGAGGGAGAGGGTGTGATGGGAACTCCCCTGCGCGCTCAGCTGCTGGCTGTCCTTGCTGAGGGGGCTTCACCAGCTCCGACCCTGCTGGGAGCTGCCCAGGGCGTACTTCCTCCACCTGCTCCTCACCCACAGGCAGGGCTGGCAATGCACATGCACTTCTGGGAGGCACCGTTTTTGAGACTGGTTCCTGCCCACCCCTACCCCGCCATGTCCCTATTGTGCTGAGCTGTGAGATCAGTTTTCCTCCTGGGGTGTCCCTTTCCTCACATGGAATCCTGGGTTGGCAGGCCTGTCCCTCAAGGCTTCTTATGCAACACAACTCAAGATCAATGTCTAGATTTATGAATGCAGTAAGGTGTCCCGAAGTTCAGGGGCTGAATGCCATTTCAATATGTCTGATGGCTACTGTAAAACCAACTGGATTGTCAGAACTGCACCCCCAATCTTACAGTCAGGATGGTCTAGTGCAAAGAAAAGGGGGTGTCTTGGATTGTCCTCAGCAGAAGAGAAGTCAGCAGGGCAGGGGCTGTGTCTACTTGTTCACTGTGCCTCCAACAGTGCCTGGGTAAAGCAGATGCTCACTAAGTTTTGTGGCTGGCCAGCTGAATGGATGAGTGAATGGATGGAGAAAGAACAAATGAATGGATGAAGACTCATCCAGCCCAACCACCTTTCCAATCCTCTCTTTCTGCAGCCTCAGGTAAAGCAGCAGCCATGCCTCAAAGACAACGCTGGAACAACAAGAGATCCATTGCAAACTTTCCTGAGCCCAACAAGACAGGAACTATGGAAAGAGCATGCCTGTGTTTGCATGCAAACTCAACACCTACCAGGCACAGGTGTCTTCAAAGGACAAATGTGCTTTTTTTTTTTTGACAAATGTGCATATAAATTTGGGATTTGAACTTTCCTGAATGTTTCTAGCTAATCACTGATGAAAACACATTACTGTGCTCTCAGAAGTTCCTTTCCTCTCCTCCAGCCTGCACTATCTGCTTACCGAGGTTGACAGCTATGTCTCTTTCCCCAGCCCGTCTCTCTCACATCCACCATTTCTTCAAAGAAAGCAACACATCCATTTACCCACAAAAGGCCACAACGTGTGCAGCTCCACCTTCAGGAGAGGTGGCCTCCATCACAACGGCTGACAGCGTCAGTGCCTTCCCCAGCCACAGGGCTAAGCACACACCACAGCTCCCACTGAGCCCGGGGAGCTCTGGACCACCGTCCACATAAGGGAAGGACACTCAGTCTCAATCTGAGGTGACAAGGCCAGCGCTGGCCAGGGCTTCATATCAGCAAAATGCACTCCCTCCTCCCCAAGGGAGTTTGTATGCTCTGTGGTGAGGCTCTTGAGAGAGGTTGGGTCTTAAGCAGTCTGGTTCATTTTAGTAAAAAGGTTATTTTAGAAAATTTTAACATCTAAAACTTTCTGTCTCTGAATTTACATCAGGCACCATTTTTCATTATATGCATTGAGCACAGGTTGCCTGGAGCCAAGTTCATATGGCAGATGTTACATTAACCAAACAAAAACAAAAGGAGGAGCCTCCGCTCAGGCAGCAAATGAGGCGTGTACCACTGATGTGGCTCAGACAGCCGTGTCACATGCACCACTGATGTGGCTCACGCAGCTGTGTCACGTGCACCACTGATGTGGCTCAGGCAGCACATGTCACGTGCACCACTGATCATGGCTCAGACAGCCGTGTCAGGTGCACCACTGATCATGGCTCAGACAGCTGTGTCAGGTGCACCACTGATGTGGCTCAGACAGCCGTGTCACGTGCACCACTGATCTGGGGCGCAGGCAACCATAACCGGGTTCCTTCCTTTCCTGACTATCGTAATCAGGAAGTGGCCCTCCAGGGCAGACTGGGCCTCTGCACTTGAGGGTCTGGTCCCAGAAGACTTCTCTGTCACACCAACCCTGTTCGTTTTGTGCTGAGATCAGAAACCCACCCTAAAAATCTCCAGGTTATTCTAACAGCCACTTGGACAGGTATCAAACCCAAACCCATTCTTGAATTAAACAATTGCAGGTCCATCATCCCTCCCCAGCGCTCATCCCTCTCCGTAAACCGGAGTCTGAGGGACGACTCCTTCCTCCTCTTCAGCTTCGAGGCCGGGGAGGCTTCTGTCTGCAGCCGCTCTCAGCACCCTCTCATCCTTTCAGCCAAAGGAGACTCGGGACCAGTCTCACTGGCTCTTCACTGCGACATGACTCTGATATCTACTTATGAACAATAAACTGCAAACAAACACACACCACTTAAATGTTCAACTATAAGCAATAATACATCTACTTAATAAAATATGCAGTCACTGAAAAGATGGTTATAAAAACTACATTATAACATAGGAAGGAGCATTTGATGGAAAGTAAAATAAAAATACAAGACCTGTATATGCTAAATAATTATGATCATTTACTTTCTTACCTTGTAGGGGGAAAATGATGTATGGCAAGTCACACATCTAAATTGTTTAATAACAAGAAGGAAAAACAACAGGATATGAATATTGGACTTCTTCAATTGTAGAAGGGAGCAGATTTGTTATTATTTCTAGGCCCCCAATCTGCTTTAATATTTATGCTTATTTTTTAATGCATTATTTTCATGATATAAAAAGTTTAATTTGAATAAGAGGTCACCAAGAACCAGCAAAGTGTCAAATTTGTAATGACCAGGGTGAGAGCAACCTGTCCCACCGCCACCGGGTGAACACGGTGCTCACATGACCCTCAGGCGCATGAGGTAAGGAGTGTCTCCCACTCCTGGGCCTGTCTGTTAACCCACTGCACATGGAGCACCCGCGTCAAACTGTGGACCCAACTCCACCCCCTGCATCGGGTCCTAGCAGGCTGGGCCAGGCAGAGAAGTTTTAAAATGCTGACATAACTCTTTTTCCTAGATAAAAATGATAAAGCTTCCCTTTTTTTGGACCCACTGTGTATTAAGAACTGCAAGTTGTTTTTCTCATTTCATCAAATGCAATCCCTTCACCGGTCATTCTCACAAATGCCACCGCTTTACAGACGACCCCGGCTGTGCTTGCCTGCTATTACATCAGAGGGGCGTGCAGACCCGCATGTCCGACTCCGCATGCACTTCCTGCACCCCAGCCTTCCCGGGACAGAGAAGAGTGGACGGACCCCTGCCACAGTCCCGAGGCCAGCCTGTGACCCTGGCACACACTGTGAACACACCGTACTCGGAGAATTAACAGCAAGCATGAAGAACAAAGCCAGCTTCCTTTGGTGCATGCACTGTTAGTGGGGTCACAAGCAGGCAGGGTTAGAGTGACTGGTTAGTAACAAGCATTAGTGCACAAATATGATCATGAAGTAGCAAAAATGCTTTGGCCAATCAGGTGCCTTTTCCTTACCATTAAATATTCCAATTTCAGTTCTGACTGATTATGGCAGGTCATACATCTAAATTGTTTAATAAAATGTTTAAGTTAGAACACTGCTAAAATCTACTGCTTTAACAACAGCAAGATGTGAACTCCTGTACTGGTGAAGCTGACATCCCACTGCTGCTTACAGTAACAGTGAAGAGGAGACTCAGATGGCGCCAATGGCCCACCCAGGTGCCGCCTCGAGCGGCCAGAGGCTGCCCACACCCATCAGTCTCCCCAGGAGTGTATCTGAGCCCCAGCCTCCGTTCAGCGGCTTAAGATGAGATGCTCTACCAACAGCCTGTCTTCAGAAATGTGTCTGTAACGCTTCCCAGGTGCAAACCCAAGGCCACGATAAAGGACTGCCTGTCAGAGGAAGCTCCGTGTTCCTTGAAACACCCAACACTGGTTCACAGCAGCATGACCAACGCCTGTGACTCATAATCTAAACACTGGTCTGTGCGGCTTCTGACCGCAGCCCAGGGACTTTAATACATTAGAAGTTGCTTCTGTCATACAAGATAACTGTGGTGACCTGGCATTTCTTGAGTTAAGAGAATTCACTGCGTAGATTGACTTGTAAACATTTAGCTAATAAATAGAAAATTACTTTTACTACCAATTTCCACTTATCGGATTATGGATAAGTACAGAGCATTACAATGTTGAAGCAGATCAAAAATAAAAAAATAAAACTTCTGGAATAAACACAACCCAAGAAACAAAAAAGTATTAAAGAACAGATCCAATTCTGGTTCACAGTCTTGCATCTAAATAAAAAAAATATCTGGGAAATAATAAAAAATATTTTTTAAAGGACTGAAGGGAACCCGCTGGTCTCGAACCATCCTGCAAGCAAGACTGGAGCAAGTGAAGGCTGGAAGGAGCGGCTGAGCTGAGTAAGGGGAGCCCGCCCCTGGGGAACCCCTGCTGGTGAGTCACAAACACTAGTGTGACAGGCCCAGCCTTAACGGGGCTCGGTCACTCCACTCCGGGACTCCGCCCTGGGCGCCCAGCCTCTGGGCTCCTCTCCAAGGAGTCGGAAGGCAGAAGCACTGTTCCCTCCTCTGCCTCTTATAGGGCGGGCTGCTGTTTCCCCATCTGGTTTCTCAGAAAGTCTTCTCAGACCCAAACTGGGAGCAGCCCGGCTAAGCAGCCACTGCAGGCTGAGGCGGGGATCCGCTGCAGAGAGCCACTGCTCACTAGAGCCTACGCCATCTACGTGTGGACCCAAAGGCAAGCTTCAGAAGACCTCACGGTGCCCTTTAAAAGCTCACGTGGTTTAAGAAAGCAAATGGAAGCATGCTAGACTGCAAAGGGATTTAGTGTGGGATTTTTGGAAGATAATTTTTTTTGGTCCTAAAAATTTAAAACATTAAGAAGCTCCATGCAGTTACCTTGCACTTAAAATTAAATTTTATAAAATTAAATATTAAAGCTCAAGACACAAGGGACACGTTTCCCATGCTGATTGCACCCGAGCCCTCCTTGACTGGGTGTGACGAGCCAATCATTGCAGGCAAATCATGCCAGGAGCAGATGCTTCTGAAAGGTTTGCCCAAAGATGCAGTCTTAGCATCTTATCTGAGCAGCTCCAACTCGGGCTCTCTGCCTACTGACCTCTGCCTACTGACCTCTGCCCCTTGAACCCAAGCTCTGTGGCTCCCAGAGCCTCTGATAAAACAAGTCCTGTCCCTGCTGCAGAGCGAGCGGCGCGGGCCCGGGCTGCTCCTGGGCTCTAGCTCAAAAGCACACACACAACACGGCTAGACAGGGCAGCGGGGCAAGCTGCTTGGCGCTACCAACCTTAGTCCTGGGAGCCTTCCCCACCTGAGGGGACGCTAGGGAGGGCATCTATTGGGAAACAACAAACCAGATGTGGCTTTATTTTCCTAAAACAGCAGAGTGGTCATCAGAAAAAAGTTATTAACCATGCAAGTTATACAGTCTAGTCTTGAAAAAAGATGTTACTAAAAGATAGACTAGTTGGTTAACCCTCATTATATGGGGTACCAGTGTGGGGTGCCCCATGGTTCATTTCCAGCTGAGAATTTCCTCAGTATGGTTGGGAGCCGGAAATATGTTCAGCTTCCTCTCTAAAAATAGGTCCACTAAAACAACAACAAAGAAAGAAAAATAAAAATAAAAACAGCTCCACTGAGAAAAATTTAAAACTCAGTTGTTATAGAAAATGATTCAAAGCTCCTAATTACCATTCCTAAAAACACATTTAAAGGAAAATCCATTCATCCTACCCTTAAATCAAACAGTAAATCAAAGCACCGTGGTGGAGTTTGGTCTGAAGCCATGGCTAGATGAGAAGCCGTGCTGTGGATGGCCTCGGGCAGCCCACTGAACCTCTGCGGCAGCCGCCAGGGTCCCAGGGGACCGCGAGGACAGCTTCCCCCTCCCACTCTCTGGTGGTCAAGAACTCCCTTCCCTAAGCATCCAATTCGGCACAAACCACTGTTTTAAGGTTATTCCTGAGATGCTTCACCATGAACATGAGTCATTCGCTGAAAAATGAAGCTCACGCTTGCGCAGTCCAGCGCCTGCCACCTGGATTAGGTCACTGTCCTCAGACAAACGTACGAGGCAGGCCCTGGGCACGCACTGAAACTACCCATCAGGCTCAGCAGACTGCCGGGCTCTGCACCGTGTGCCTCTCCAATGGCTCGGCTGCTCCGGCACAAGCAGCGGCCACCCGGGCACCCGGGCGTGACCCCACGCAGGCTGGGCCGGGTTTGCAGTAACCTGCGTAGACCAGCCTGAGGGCCAGGGCGCAGAAGCCTGGTGCCGGTTCGTACTCACCCGTCACTATCTTGGAGGCAGTAGGCGCTGCGCCGGAGAGGCTGCCATCAGCTGCTGGGTGGGCCCCAGGAGGGTGCGGGGGTGGGGGCACGCTGGGTCGGTTCCTGGGCTTTGGAACTGGTCTCGGTCTCGGTAAGGTCCCGGCATGTGGCTGTGCAGTCTCGGGGTGGCCCGCCACAGGGTGCTGGGTGGCCAGGAGGCCCGGGCTCTGCTTAGCTAAGGGCGGAGTGCTGGGGGGGGTGGGCGTCCTGGGGGGGGTGTGTGCGGGCTGCTCCAGGCCCTGCTCCCCCGGCCTGGCCTGTGACTGTGGCGCCTGCGTGGGGGGCTGCGGCGGAGGGTGACTGGGTGCCTGCATAGGAGCCAGACTGCCCGAGGCTCTCCGGGGCCCACCCAGCTGTGAGGTGGTGCACGGCTGCCCGGGGGCTGGGCCTGCGTGCGGGATGGGAGGAGACGGGTTTCCAGTGGCTGACTTCAGTGACAAGCTGGGTGTCTGCTGCGCTGTCCCTGGGGCGTTCTGGCTCGCGGGCTGGCCAGGAGGTGGGTTTCCTGGTTTCGGGGGTGCTGGAGCAGGTTTCTTAACAGCTGCACAAAGAGGGAAACTTTCAGTGAGAACAGCACAGTGACAGCCAACCCCCGCTGACCCAAGGACCAAGGGCGGTCCCACTGTTTACGCCACGCTGATGGCACTGCTCCTAGGACGGATCAGGTGGCACTTTACCTCTGTGGTCTTCTTCCTCAAGCCCAGAGACCCCATCTCACCAAGAGAAAAGCATGTGACAAATGCAAATTAAGGGACTTCAAAATGCCTGCCTAGCGCCCTCCCAAACTGCCTTGGCCATGAGACCGAGAAAGAGGGGAGAGAGAGAGAGAGAGACAGACAGACAGGCAGACCACTACGCAAACAGGATAACTGAGTGCCTTGTGCCCTGGGTGGGAGCGAGCCTGGACAGGACATGGCCATGAGTGAAAAACTGGGGGCATCTGAACAAACAGGGACGTTAGTTGGTTTCCAGCCGTGACCAATGGGGTAAGACTGGAAGGGCACACCTAGCCTATGTTTGCAACTCTTCTGTAAATCTAAAATTACTCCAGAGTACAAAGGCTATTTTTAAGAAGTACATGATACATTTATAGGCCTTTCAAGACCTGTCACAAGTTCAACAAGACTCAGCGGCCGCCCTGCCCACAGGAGGCGCTGCTCTAGCCACTCGGCCAATCGGTGCTGCACGTGGAGAGCCGGGAGAGGAGGAGCGAGTGAGCTAAGGCGCCCCCCGAGCGCGACTGTCTGCTGCACACAGCACAGACATTGCTCTGAGTTCTCTTCTCCTAGAGGGCTTGACTGTGTTTGTTTTTTAAAGAATTCTACCAATTCCAAAATCATTTGAGCTATATGGTAATTCTAGATAAAAGTAAAACCCATCTGGCAGATGGCCTCAGAATTACTTCTCTAGGGAGAGCCGAACCACACCCTCCCGCCTGACACCAGCTGAGGTCAGCGGCACTGCGGGGTGGGAACTTGGTTCTGAGGAGGGTGGGTGGAACACGATGGCTGTGGAGTCCTGGTGTGAGGCTGGGAGGGGTGGTGGAAAGGAGAGACTTAAGCATTTTTCAAATTCTGCTGAGACTCCACCAATCCATCCCCATGGGAGAGGGAAATGACCTTGCATCGTTCACCTAACACATCACCAGCACCAAGCCAGGCCCTTTGCATGACCTGTCTCACAAAGTGTCACAAGCTCCCTGCAAGGCAGGCACTGCTGTACCCATTTCACGGTGGAGAAAACCGAGGCCAAGTGTCTGCAGGAGGTCACACAGCGGTTCAGTGGCAGGACAGAGGCCCACCACCATGTCCTTGGACTCTTTTCCTCTTCCTCATCCTATAGTGCCTGGCTCCCTGCTCACAGGGCCCAATTCAGGAAGGAAAAGGGACGGGGTTTGCACTGCTCTGCTGTCCTGGAACTTTTGACCCGGAGACTCGGAAGACCTTTTCCCACAGAAATAACCAACCGGCTGACAAAGAAATCTGGAATATTAGCTGTACATTGCCTGCCACAAGCAACCGAGGAAGAAAAATGTCTGGTTTTCTGTTATAAGCAATATACCTGCAAGTGCAGACGGAGCAGATCATTCCTGACACGTAAGGGTGCTGAAGGAATCAGAGCAGAAGCATGAGATGGCAGACAGGGCGACCGGCCCCAGTGCCACGTGGAGACCAGGCTGGGAGAAGGCAGGCCTTGTCTAAGACCTCCTAGAAGATACTGGCAGGCCGGGGATGGGGTGGGGGGTGGGGCAGAAAGGATCAAACTTCCTGCGAGGAAGCCTGCGGTCAGCGTCTGCAGCTAGTAGGAGAGGTAATACCCCGAATGTGGCTCAGAAGTCAAGTCTCAATCTGTAAGCAGCATTACCCCTGAATCCAGGTAGAAAAGACAATTTTCCTCAAACGTCGGTGGGACACAGATGAAGATGATGGGGCTCAGAAGAGAGGTAGACAGCTTTAGCGAGGACGGAGTGGGGTCTGTGACCAAGCCGAGTACCTGAATTTGTCTCTCTGCTGCAACCTATAAAAGATCCACCTAACAACCGTGTAGTGCTTTAAAAAGACAATGCTTTCATAGGCAGACACATTACCTTTAATCCCCAAAACGTTCCCCTTAAGAAGGCATTTTATTTCTACTTTATAACTTGTAAGAATTGAGTTAGGAAAGGTCAAATTGGCAGACTTCCACCAGTCATGTGAAACTGGGCAAAAGCTAGAACTCAAACTTTGAGTCTAAGACCTTTTCCCACTGATCACAAGGGCCTCTTATGAGCAGCATCAACCAATCCATGGGGAACTGTCCAGCTCGCCTGAGCCCACCCATCCCTTCCTGTGGCCACAGCCATCCCGAGGTGCGGCCTCATCGCTCTGTGGGCATCACTTCGATAGTGTGCCTCCACCATGGCCAGGCCAGCCTTCTAAAAACGCTGCTGCTGTGCCCACTCCACTGCTCTGAAGGACCCGCTGCTCGGCGGTCCGCCCCTCGGCCTGGCACGAAGGATCCCCACTGCTGCCTGCCCGGCCTGCCCCCTCTGCTTTGCATTAGTCCTGGGCAGCAGGAGCAGTGTCTCTGCTGTGCCCCCTGGGAGTGCAGTTACCAGTGACATGCATTTACACATGAGCCTCAATAACAGGAGTGCAGCCAGAGAGAGACGGGGGAGGGGGGAGAGGCAGAGGAGACCCAAGTCAATGAGTGCATGGGAGCGGGGCTGTCGCCGCCCACACGCCCCAGTGTGGGCATCCCTCATGCTGGCATCATTTTTGGTTCTCGCTGAACACACTTTTTTAAAACAGCACTCCCCTACACTCAAGTCAACATCTGAGCTCCATTAGGCAGAAGCCTAGACATGGTGGTTTCCCTGAGCCTGCAGCCAGGGCGCTCCGGAGATTCGAGGTCCAGCGCATGCTTTCTGTCAGGCGCTGGCCCAAGACCTGGCTCGAGGCAGAGGTACGACCTCCCTGTGTGCAGCTCATCTCAGATCAGTGAGAGGTGTTTATCCACAATATGTGATGTGTACCCAAAAGAACTGGAATCAGCACCTCAAAGACACACACTCCCTGTCCACTGCAGCACTAGTCGCAGTGGCCTCAGTAGCCGTCAGCAGAGGACTGGACAGAGAGTTGTCTATACGTGCAATGGAATATTCAGCTTTAAAAAGATGGAAATTCCAGCGCGGCGCGCTCCGCCACGTGTCGGGACCGGGGTCCGGTGCAGAGAGCCCTTTGTCCTGGGAAACGGGGTGCGGCCCTTCACGCAACGCACGTTCGTGGGGAACCTGGCGCTAAACCATTTGTAGATGATCTGATTCTGGGTCGGGGTTTCGTACGTAGCAAAGCAGCTCCCTCGCTGCAATCTATTGAAAGTGAGCCCTCGACACAAGGGTTTGTTATTAAAAAAAGAAGGAAATTCTTCCTTAAATGACAACTTGCATGAAACTTAAGGACCCTATGCTAAGTGAAACAAGCCAGTCACAAAAGGACAAATAGTAGATGATTCTGTTTATGAGAAGTTTAACATAGTCAATCAAGTTCACAGAATTGGAGAATGGAATGGTGGCTGCCAGGGCCTCTGGGGCCAGAGCACTGGGGAGTGACTAGCAACAGGAATACAATTGTTTATTTTATTGATTTGTTACAGAGAGGAATGGAGAGAGATAGAGAGTTAGAAACATCAATGAGAGAGAAACATCGATTAGCTGCCTCTTATACACCTCCTACTGGGGATGTGCTTGCAACTAAGGTACATGCCCTTGACCAGAATCGAACCTGGGATCTTTCAGTCCACAGGCTGATGCTCCATCCACTGAGCCAAATCAGTTAGGGCAACAGGAAAAAAATTTCAATTACTTAAGAAAACAAGTCCTAGAGACTTGCTGTAGCTACTGTCCTATCACACATCCTGCACACTTAAAGCTGTGAGACAGATATCATGTTGAGTTCTTATCACACAAAATTAAACTAAAAAAACACGTGAAGGTGTGAGTCAGAAAATTCTAGAAAAGGAGTGCAGAGCTCTGAAGAGGGAATGAGCTCGGTGTCTGACCTGCGTGACTGGCAGGCAGACGTGCGTGAATGAAGTGGGAAGGGGTGGCTTGGGGAGAGCTGCAGGGAGTTCCAGCCCAGAGCTGACATGACTAGCGGCCTGCTCGGTGCTTTACAGCAATCCCTGGCTGCTGGGAGGCCCCCGGGGATGCCGATGGGAACAGTCCGACCGCATGCTAATTCGGGCCCAGAAACCTACCCCACCCCGAGGCCAGTGGCTCCCAGGCCTCAGAGGGCTGAAATGCCAGACTCCTAGAAAACGGGGCGCGCTGTGGGAGATGACTTTTGTTTGTCTCTCCATTTTCCTTTTCCTTTAGTGACTTCTGTTAACAACTGACCTTTCTGCCTGCTGTTTCTGGGGACAGGCACAGCCCGGTCTGCTGGGAAGCCTGGCACCTCCCTGGCTCACATGCCCGAGGCGAGGCACAGAGCAAAGGAGGCCACTTACCTCGCCGCAAAGCATGAGGACTGGAGCCGGTGGAGCTGTGCGCTGGGCTGACAGAGAGCTGGTGGGAGCCGGCAAGGGGCTGCCCCTGCCCCTGCCCCTGGCCACTGGCCACCTGACTGCTGTTTCTTCCCGGGGCCGGCGTGGGCAAGGCTGCAGCTGCAGAGTCCTTGGGTTTGGGAGGACTGAGGGGAGTAGAAGTCCGGTTAGAAGGCAGGCAGGCCGAGCCAGAAAAGCTAAGCACACTGAAACACGACCAAGTTTAAATAGTTCACACCATCCTACAGAGCTAACCTTTATTGGTGCCACACAGGACTCACCGCATCACACTGTCTCCAACCACCGGGCCACTCACACATCATGACAGAGACCGTTCACAGCAACCAGGACATTGCAAATAGTTAAATATTTAAAAATGTGGAAGGCTTTCAGACTTCAAAATAAGGCGATTTTGACACACGTTATACAAAACTAAGCAAAAGCTATGGCTAAGCACCAAAGCTCTGAAATATAAGGTGCTCAGCTGCCATCACTAGTGTGGCCTCAGGAGAGAAGAACTCTGAGAATCAAAGTGACGAGTTCAGAGCTGGTGGCAGTGGGTGGAAATCAGAACTCAGGCTCTCGATGTCCTGGCTCAGAACTTCTCTCTATGCTATACTTTACAGCTATGTTTTGTTAACATCACCAAAGAGGGCACCGTACATAGAACTCTGAAATAGAGGGGTGAGAGAGCAAACTGACGACTGACGTGCCACCTGTCCTGCCGTGCTGTGGACTCACTGTTGTCTTAAATAACACATTCAGTCTTGGTTAGACCAATAGAATGCTACAGTAAGTGAAAATGTGAGTTCACTAGTACTATTTTCTAAAAAAAAAAAAAAAAAAAAAAAAAAAAAAAAAATTTTAAATCAAAACAAATACATTTAAGGAGTGGCAATGACTGGCAAGCCAACATGGAGCCCCTAGGAAGTTGAAGATATTTATTTTTAACCAAAAAGCGAACTTCCCTGAGTTATGCAAGCAGAAAGGATTCAGAATGCTCAGAGCTTTGAGGCCAGCTCTGAGGAGTTAAGAGTTTCCAAATCTCTTAGCAGCATCAGGCATCACCAGGCACTCCCTCCAAAGAAGGTAACAGGAGAGTTCTTCACACAAATCCATCTCCATGTGGGGAAAATTCCCCTGTGGATCAACAGGCCGTTCTTGTTTTATGCCACTTATTTTCCTTTAGGCAGCCAAAGTAGAGCAAATGACGAGTCAGCACATGGCTCATCTTTTACAGCTGCTGCCTGGCCTGAATCACCTGAGATGCCACCTGAAGTGGTCCTCTGCCCAGGTCAGTGTGAAGAACGAAATTCATGTGAGTTCAATAAAACTCTCAAGCTCAAAGGCATTTTTCCTGGAAGTTGCTATGCATTTATAGTCCACTCTAGGTGACTGAGCAAGATAAAGTAACAGAAAAGCCTTTTAAGAAGATCTATCGTTATATTTTATACCTTATACTCATGCATCACTCCCTGCAAGTCAGAAAGCTAGGGAGTCACCCGGTGTGCCTGGCACAGCACTGGCACACACTCCTCAGTACTCAGTCAGTAAGTTTGACTGGATGGGTGGGTGGGTGGGTGGGAGGGTAGATGGGTGGATGGGATGGATAGATGGATGCATGGATGCATGGGTGAATGAATGAACACCAGGAATATTATAACCTTACTTGCTACACTGAAACGTTTACTTTAGCATATTAGATGATAATAAGCAAATGGTACACAAACACTGAGTACACATCTAACAGGTAAAGGAGATTTATAATATTGCTAGACACCTCCTGGTTTCCAGCTCCCAGCACTGAAGCAGAACGGTAAAGAATGCAAACAAATGTGCATTCTTTTGAAAACAGGAAAGAAAGGAAGCAAGCAATTTAGTCTTTTCCTCCATCCAGTGCTCACCAGGAGTGAAGGCAAGTATGTTTTACTGCATGCCAGGTGACTCTCGGGGCGTGGATGCTGTGCCCACAGGCCAGCACCTGCAGGAAGGCGAGGGCGCCCAGCACCCACTGCCAGCAGAAGCAGCCCCCTTACCTGCTGTCGCCTGGGCTCGGCCCCTGCTCCAGTGCGCCCGCAGAGGAGGGAACAGGCCCACCCCCTGCGCTGCTTTCAGCCCTAGAGCTCTGGGAAGGGGGCTCTGGGCCCGCAGGAGCCAAGGCGCTGCCATCTGTGGGCGGGAGTGGCGGCTGGAAAGCAGGGGATACGTGCTTTCTATTTAGGGTGCCACCCCGCCGGTAGGCCTGGAAGTCCATAAGCTTCACACCAAAGCTACACAGAGAGAAGAAACAGTCAACACACCATGCGAGCCAATAACGGACACAGAAGCCCATTGGTCCACGCGTGTTAAAACCCACACGGTACAGCCACCCAAGTTGCCCGGCATGCAGTGCAGCAACAAGGACCAGGTGAATGGCCATCCCTGTTACCGAGGCAAGCGACTCAACTTGGCCTCCCCCTGCGAGAACCAATGGGCCTGGTACGGACCAGTGTCCTTCTCAATTGGGCAGGAGCAGCTGACGCACGCAGGCAGACCGCAGATGAGTGCGTGACATCACACGAGCCTGTTTAAGTCCACGTTACCACACACAAGCGCATGGTCCTACCGGGGCCTCTCAGCCCTGGGCAGGCAGGGGTGTGTGCAAGAGCAACTGAGTGAGCAGTTGTGGGGTTCCACAGCTGGGAACTGCTGTGGGGCTGGACATGGGGACTAGAAGGGCAGAGGAAGGCTCACTTTCACTTAAGCCTACTGTGTATAAACGTCAAAAAGTAAGATTTATTTTTAGTTCAAAAAATAAGATTCATGGCTCCCTGAGCACGTGTTTCTGGTGGGAGCCGCCCAGGCAGAGGCCTGAGAAGTGCTGACTGTGTGCTAACGGGAACCTGACGCGGAAGTAGCATTCTGGAACAAATAGATGAAGGCCGTGTGCTATGGTTTGCCATCAGGAAGCATTGCTGCTGTGAGGGAAAACGTCTGCACAGCAAACGGGGCTTCACAGGGACAGACGAAGAAAGCATTTCCCTTTGCGATGGGTTAAAAAAATCAAAACAATAAACCAAACCTCACTATAAAACTGGGCAACTAAAATAAGAGCTTGTGTTTTAACGTAATGACTTCGAGTAACTACCACCTGCACTCAAACAGGCCCGCCCTGAACAGCCTCTGCTCCCAGCCCTGCTGGGGGCACAGTGCCTTCCCTCACAGCCCTCCGCGCCCGAGAGCCCTCCACCTGAGCCGGGAGCCTCCACGGAAACGTGCGGCTCCTGCTAAATTCAACACAGACTTCTCTTCCAGCATCGGCCAAGACTGAGGCTTCTCAGCTGAGCATCAGACTCAGTGGCTGGCTTCCAGCGAGGGCCTACTTATGCCAAAAATATGCCTCTTTTCAACACAAAATCACACACTCACCGTGAGTGGTGGGTTGCTCTCATGCCCACTCTTGGACGTAAGTCCATAATGCTTAACTTTTTTCTTATTCCCTCCATCCCCAGAGTCAAGTACATCTAGGTGACATGTAAGATGCCAGTGCACTGTGGGGGCGACCGAGTAGCAGGTAAAGCGTGAATGCCCACAGCACATGTGGCCTGAGAGGCTGGGCACCGACTTTCCGGCAGAGCAACGTTTGCAATGAACTAGCGCTGCGTGCCGAAACTCTCTGGGCTCTTGCAGGCCTGGGCCGCACAGGCCTCCGAGGCAGTACACTGCCGAGGGTTTAACAACACCCATCTGAAGCGATAGCTCTCACACACCTCTCCTTCTTCACCAAGTCCCCTTCCATCACCGCCATGCTGGCCGGTCGCTTCCTCTCCAGGGTCCCCGAGTCAGATTCATTTCCAGTGTGGGATGAGTGGTTGGAGTTTGGGGGGGCAACAGGTACGAATGCTTCTGACACATTAAATTCCACCTCTGCAGGAAGAGAAAGGCACAGTGAGCATGAGACGCAGGGGGTGGGGTAGGGGGTAGGGGCTGTAAGACACCACTGGATCAGGAGCTTCCTCTTCATCCGTGAGCCTCATGCTTCCTAAGCGGAAGCCCATTCTCCTCGGCTACAGGATGCTGATGACACCGGGAGGCAAGATGGGACCAGCCAGGATATGGCTCAGAACATGTACACGACTCTGCTTCCTTTTTATAAACACACAAATACGAAAAAGGAGCATGGATAACTTATTTGAATAATGAAAAGTGTGAATTATTCAGTCTGACAAAAGAGAAATAAAAGCCAACATGAACTCCATACTGCTAAAGCAGCTTTCACATGCCTCTTTTTCTCAAAGGAGATCTTGGGCAGAATGCCAAGCAGAACCTCAGTTCTCGAACTTAATTCATTCCAGGAGGCTGCTCGAACACAAAAGCATTTTTCCTTAGAAATAATGTAAACTGATTAATCCACTCCAACGATTCCCTGTTTTAACCCTTCTTACATAGTGCCTGTATAATGTACTGTTTAATCTATAAACACTTTAAAAACAAAAAGGAAAGGAAATGTACAGTAAAAAATGAAAATTCAGTAATAAGAAGCAGTAACAAAAGCAAAAAAACCATGAAACTATTCACAGCACACATTTCCTGAGATGCTGACAGTACTGACTCATGCTCACACATCTCTCCATTTGTCGCCTGAGAGATGTGTGACTGATGACACAGGCATTAGCACGAACAGTCTGTCGGTTGGGAAGTGGACTGTCTGAGAAGGGAGACATTGAGAACCGAGGTGTGACTGCACTCACTCATTCATTCACTCACCCATCCTACACTCTTCAGAACCCGGAGTGAGGTGTGGGACCTGAAGAAGGTGGTGAGGAAGAGATGAGCGTGGCCCTGGCATCACGGAGCTTACACTCCAGGGGGCCTGAAAGCAGGGCTGCTCCCGGCAAAGTAGGGATGGGAGGTCCAGACTTGGACCAATCTTCCAACACTTGCCCAGCCAGTACCCTCAAAGGGGCCATGGAGTCTAAGATCCCAAGACTGCAGTGCAGGTAGTTTACTAACTGATTTCCTATTAGGGGTGGAGAACGCCTGGCTCATGACATTTAGTCTGGCCCTGCCAAGGCACTAGAGGTGATTATTAGACCAAATATAGCAAGCTAATTTTTAAGTTAACCTTAGTAACTGTGTATGGCCCACAAATCTATATTTTATATGCAAAGTGTCCCCACGGGATTCGACCGGCGGAATGAAGGAAAGTCCTGGCTGGCAGCCAGAAGGCCCCTATCGGCCCTGATCGCCGGCCAGGCCTAGGGGACCCTACCCGTGCACAAATTTCGTACACCAGGCCTCTAGTGATGTTATAAACAACCAATGGCCCTTGGCAGAGAAAGGCTCTCCACCCCTGGCCTAGAGAATGAAATCCAAATCTTGACAGCCAGAGCAGAAGGGCCCAGCCAACCTTTCCTGCTTGCTCTGCACTCTGCACAAAGCCAGCCATCTGCCTAGAGAAACAAAAAGCCTGCCTCCAAGAGGAAACCCCTGCCTGTTCAGTGCTGCCTCTCCTATCATGCAACCTGACTCCCTTCCCCAACCTCTGAGTTTGTCAAATCCCTGTTCACCCGTCTATCTATCCTTCTCGTTTGCCACGTATTATAATTTCTGTGTACGTGGCCTCTGGCAGTGGTCCAAGTTCTTCCAGGGAAGAAAGCAAGTCTTGTCAGCACACACATGGCCCCTAGTGGGGTATTCAGTATATGCTGAAAATGAGTGGCTGGTGTTAAGTGAAACACAAAATAATGTGGTCACTATGATGTAAAAATACAAATGCAAAGCATCAGTCTGGAAAGAAACATGAAAAAGAGACACCAATTAGCAATCACGAAGGATTGATGCATTTGCTCCTTGAAAAGGGCTTTTCACACTGTCACACTGTTATCGAGTTGCCCCGGCAGCCAGGGAAGCTGAAAGCCAATTACCTCCAGGGAAGAACCAGTCGGCGTGCTGAATGATGGGCTCGATGACCGCGACCACGTGCACAGAGGTGGCGGCTGCCATCTCAGCCAGCGTCCTGCAAGGAAGTGCACAGAGTTCACGCGCTTCCCCGGGCAGCCTGTCAGTCCCTGGTCTGGCTCAGAGCCATTCCATGACTTTCAAAGGATGAGATATTGGAGAATGACGCACAAGGCCTGGCCTATGTGCGTGTGGGTCCCCCCGACTCAGTCTGCCCCGAGGTAACCGCACGGCGAGGGAGCCTGTGATGGCTGTACTCCCTGCTGGGCTGACACGGCGGGGCAGGGCTGTGCTTCCCACGGGGATGGTGTTACCCATGGTAGCGACTGGTGGGACCCAACATCACACGCAACAATTTCACCTACAACAGAACCAAGGACACGGATTGTGACCGTGTCCCTCTGTCATGTCAGAAAATGTGAACCCCCATTTGTGAAGGTTGTTATATATGAACAGGTCCCAAGATGCATGTTCACAAATTGAAAGTGTCTGGAGAGGGATCAGAAGGAAGAACGTGAGAATAGTTACTCCACTACCCAGCGTGTTCCAGGTTGGGGTCAGATCGCTCCGAAAGCAAACAGGGTGCAAAGACCTGGTGGCCGGCGAGCACCTACCATGTGGCAGCGCTTCACCCCGTTTAACTCCATCTTTCAACACGCATCACATCGTGTTAGTTTATTTATCAAAGACGCGGTATTCTGGAGAAGCTAGAAACTGGTCTGGCCGCCCCAAACTGATCTCCTCTCTATTATCACTCTGACCTTCCTTCCTATCTGCCCAAATGCCCGACGACGGGGCCGGTTGAGGACTGGGGTGTCTCCCCCGCCCCCTGCATGGCCAGCTCTGGGACAGGCGCAGCTCACAGGAGGGTCCTTGGTTCTGAGAATGTCAGCTCAAGGAAAGATCAACTTCAGAACATGCCCAAGTGCTCCTTACGCTGGAATGTGTGTCTTGAGTTATATGTCTACGCTCCGTCAGGTGGAAAGAAGGCATGAACATAATCCAATACGGGGAAAGGTTACTTACCCTTCATTTCTGGCCCACAACAAGTTAGGGCCTAAGACAATGGCAATGTTGCTGGGGGTCATTTTATTAACGTCGCTGGTCTGAGCAAGCTTTGCGAGGAACTTGATTAAATACCTATGGCACAAAAGATAAGGGGAAAGCATCAACGCTGAAGAGGTTGCAGAAATAGCATCTTCCTGCCCACGTGCCCAGGCCCAGAGTGCTCAGGTGCAGCTAACTCAGAATCTAGCTCAGGTTAAACACTTTTCAGATTTCCTGTGTTCTGCATATCAGAGAACAGACAATTTTAGGGCTTAAAAGTGGAAAACAGCTCAGAGGTCAACCTCTACTTGCTGTGATCTCTAATCCATTTCTCCTGTATGCGCTGTCTAGTCTACCCCTAAATACACAGTGGGCTCAATATACACGAACATAGGAAAGATAAACTCAGTAACACAAAAACAGGAGCACGTACTAACACAGTAAGAGAAATGTAGGTAGGTATACTGCTTAAAGGAAACTCTATTTGAAAATGCTTCATGTTGTAATTATAAAAAATTTCCAATTTATCATACAAACGTTATCCTCTAGCACTATAAAAAATGAAGAACCCAACTATTTATCAATAGAAGGCTAATTAAATACATAACAATAGATTCACACAGCAGAATACTGTGCAGCCATGAAAAACTACCAGGTGCTGATGTGGAAAAATGCCCAAGATGTACATTAAGAAAACGATGCATAGAGTATATGCTGCCCTGGGTTTTGAAAACAGGGGGCTGTGAGAGAAGAAAACGTATGCACATACGTGTGCCCGTGTCTGCTTACACAGGCACCGACTCTGACAGGCTCCATGCGCTCGTGCCTCGGGAGAGGAACGAGGTGGCTGAGGGACAGGAGCGAGGAGACTCTTCACTGTACACTTTCTGAACTCTGAGCCATGGGAAGGTACTCCCTAAGCAAAAGACAACTAGTAAATGTTATAAAGAGTAAAACGAAACAAGAGCCAGATCCTAAAGTACCAAGAACCAGGACTGACACGGAACTGGGCAAGACTATCCACAATGGCGGCTGGATGTGCCCGTGAGCCTGTAAGGACCGTCACAAGCACTGACCTTCTCCGGGGCAAGGCTGAGCCTGGGACAGAGAGGCTTTTCCTCAGCTTAGCCACAGGTCCCGGGGCTGACAACATGTTAGGTAACATGCCAGGCATTTCACCAGGGAGGTCTGTGCCATTTTGAACCCAGGCCCCTTACAAAATATTCTTTGATTTTAAACAATTTCATTGCCAATAGCCATGCTTTTTCCTTCTCGCTCCCCTTCTTCAAAGTCACATTTTAAGTGAGATGGAAAATAGAGGTTAAACTCCAGAACTTTATCCAATGGTAAATTTTCTTAGAAACATAGTTATTATATAAAATCGCATACAATGTCCATTTCCTGAGATTTTACTTAGTAGGATGATTTAGGTCCTACTTAAAACTATGTAGCATATATGAAAGATATTATGGAAAGTACATCCATTGGTTAATTTTTACCTTTTACCTACTAGGCAATTTAGACTCCAAAACCTACATACAGTCAATCGAACCTTCCACAAGCCTTTTGTCCTCAGTGACTGGAGGGGTGAGATGACTGGGCAGCTTACCCATGAACACCGCTGTGCTTTAGAATGGCCACAGTACCACCCCGTCAGGCTCCCTTCCTCCCAGCATCCCTCAGGGACCCCCAGCTCTCTGAGTGTGCAAGGATGCTTGCATTAAACAGCCTCCCTGCTGGAGATTAATAGATTTTCACTGTCAAGTCACTAGTTTGGTGGCTTTATTTATAGAATGTCAATCATACATACCTAAAGTTAACAAAATTTTGTGGTGGCAACTTCTGACATATTCGCCATAAATCTTGAAGTTTTTTGTCTTGATCCTGCACACTAAGAAAAAATTTTATCCATAACCACAATGAAAATTCATACAGTAACCTGCGTCATATGTTACAAACAGCGATGCCTCCACTGATGGAGAGCAACCAGATTTGGAGTCAAACACCAACAAACGACTGAACTGAGCAGTTCATTGACCTCACCAAGACCCAACCTCCTGATGTGCCAAGCTGAGTAAGGCTGATAGTGCTGTATGATGGAGTTCCAGGGGTACAACCATGTGCATCCCCTAGACCAGTCAATGCCTGGCACGCTGGAGACAGGGCATCACGGAGCCCAGATCTCGCCCTAAACGCGGTGCAGCACAGAGGAGCAGCCAGGCCCAGGCTCCAGCCCATCGTGCCCTCCTATAGCGTGGATAGGAGGGTTTTATCCACTCTATCCAATCCTGCACCAAGGCTCCAGGCAGCCAGCCCACTTCCGCTCTGCAGGTTCAATGTGCAAACTTTGACAGACAGAAAGGTCCAGCCCAGCCCACAGGGCAGAGTCCACTCGGGCCACCAGTGGGAGACTGTCAAAAGCTATCAGTATGTGCTCCACCGCCGAGCCAGTCTGGAGAGCTATGGGCAGAGTTAAGTGAGGTTATACTCAAAGCCAGGTGACGTGTCACTGGGGTGAACCAGTCATTCTCAAACACAGAATCAATACACTGGGAGACAGGCGCCTTCTTTAAAGCACATTTCCTCACAGGGACGAGTGTGATTCTCAGAACAGAGAACCGTCATGGTTCAGGTCGGGCAGGTGTCCCCGTAAAAGCAAGCTCGGAGCTCTCCCCTGCCTGGCAGAGTGCCAGACTCCGTTACCCAGTCCCACAGACATTATGTCACACCAGACTGAGCCCCATGCAGGCTCCAGGGCGACACCCCACTAGGAACTTGCTCTGACTTTAAAATCCTCCCCGCCTACAGGACAAAGTCTCACTCCACTGCAAACCCTGGTGAAAGTGACAGGGATGGTCTCACCTCCCCTGAACGGTAATGACCAGAGCAAAGGGCTTATTTCTAAGGGCGCGGGTGACAGTGTCTGAGGACGGGGAGGGAGATAGAAGGGGAAGTCTGTTTTCCTTCCTTCAGGGATGAGGAATTAGGCACCTTTAAGAGAAGAGTTTTATCTACTCTATCAACTGAGCTCTGACCGGTTTTGCTCAGTGGATAGAGCGTCGACCTACGGACTGAAGGGTCCCAGGTTCAATTCCATTTCAAGGGCATGTACCTTGGTTGCAGGCACAGAAAGCTGATTGATGTTTCTCTCTTATCCATGTTTCTAAATCTCTATCCCTTCCCCTCCTTTTTGTAAAAAATCAATAACATATATTAAAAAAAAAAAAAAAAAAAAAAAAGAGGGACGAGAGACTAGGAGGCAGCTGGCCAGCAGTGAGAAGTCTCTAGGACTTTTCAAACAATTCTGTTCTGCTTAAACCCAACTGCTCCTCAACAGATGGTGCTGGGGCTGGAGGGAAGGGACCAAGATGGGAGCAGTGTCCGGGTCACACAGGGCTGGGTCCGATTCCAGCTCTGCCAACTACTTGCTACTGTTTGAGACTTCCCAAGCTTCAGTTTCCTCATCTGTAAAACGATCACAGCAACATCCGCTATTTAAGTAATTAGCTACAGATTACACGAGGCGACAGGCATTAGATCAGTACAGTACTCTGAACAAAGCACAAGCCCAGTTAGCATGAACTTTTATGACCAATTATGTCAACATGACATTACTGCACAGCTGAGTTCCCACGCAGCTCAACAGGCACTGGCCAGTACAACACATATCCGCAGTGATAGGATTTTCTTCAATAGACAATCCATAATGTGGGAACCACTGTGTGTCTTCACCCACTAAATGACAATTTACGTCCGCGCCCAAGAGGTGACCTCCCACACAAGAATCACAATGGGCAGTGTTTCACCTGAACCTTCAGAACGGAGGCGTAGGCCATTTAACAAACGTGCTGTGGAAATGTTCTTCTCTCATCCAGGAGAGCGAGACCATTTATAGCAGACACACAGCGCTTCATTTCCTCTCACTCTTAACACGCAGGCTCTGAGCTTACCTGGCCACTTGCGTCCACTCTTCATACAGATGAAAGGTCATCAGCGGTTCGGGCAGCTCCCGTAGGTAGGATTTCAAAGCACCTGGAAGCAGGAACAGAGGGGAGCTGGACCCTCAGTTCATATTACTTTGCAAAATGAAATTAAACCTCAATTATAGCTTTCCAACTATATAGAACAAATCATGACTTGGTAGGAATGGTTAAAGAATAAAATGTCCCTAAAACAATTTCTGTCCCTTGCAACACACGGGGTGGGGCAAAGCAGGTATACAGTTGTTTGTGTGGAAAATAATATAATAATTAAGAAATATTATACAATAAACTGTTGTGTTTTGCATACTCACACCTGTAAACCTACTTTTGCCCACCCTGTATACTGAGAGACCAATGAAAATCCACTCAGCTTCAACTCTTCTCTTTTTTTTTTTTTTTCTTTAAATATATTTTATTGATTTTGTACAGAGAGGAAGGGAGAGAGATAGAGAGTTAGAAACATCGATGAGAGAGTCATCGATCAGCTGCCTCTTGCACACCCCCTACCAGGGATATGCCCGCAACCAAGGTACATGCCCTTAACCGGAATCGAACCCGGGACCCTTCAGTCCCCAAGCCGATGCTCTATTCATTGAGCCAAACCGGTCCCGGCTCGAGTCATCTTCTTAACAGACAGCACTTCCCCAGCTGAGCACCAGGTGGAGGGGGGAGAAGGGGAGAAAATACAAGCACGTCTCCAAAGGCTTGGATTATAAGCCTTTACGTGATAACCAGGAAAAAACCAATCAGGAATACAAAAGGCGGGTGTGTGTATCTACTTCTTCCCTTTTGTAGCTTACGCCTAGAAGGAGACCATTTCACCTAAAACTAAAATCAGCACTGGAACCTGGGCCTCGGTCTGAGACAGCACTCCCCCACACTGGAGGGCACTCCTTGGCGCTCACCTGCTACAGCATGGGGGTCGGAATAGAACTCATCCAGGTGAGAAGTAGAACAGTCTAAGGCAGCTTTCAGTTTCTTTAATCTGGAGGCCCCAGCCGCAATTCGGAAAAGGCCCTAAAGATAATGCAAAGCCATTAGCATCAGGTTCCTGTTGGGAGCCAGCCTGAGCAGCAGTAAGACCCTGATGGAGGACCCGCAGCGCCATGGCCAGCACATGTCGCCTGCAGGCGGGTCACACTGCCAACCTAGTAGTCCTTGCCCTGCCCCATTGCTAAAATACCGTGCCCATTAGAACCTATTTAAAAACAATATATTATACTTCCACAAGGTGATGCTATAGGTTTTTTAAACTTAGAAATATTTTTTAAAATGGACACCTCGGGGGGGGGGGGGGTGGAATTGTAAGACTGCTAGCCTCTCTCACTGCCCTACACAGACTTGAGAGGAAATCCCATGAAGGGTCAACAAGTGAACTACGAGACACTGGGCCAGGCACCTAGTCCAGGTTCCTCAACCGCAGCGGTACTGACATTTGGGCCCGAGGGTTCTGTGCTGTAGGCCGTCCTGTGCATTGTAGGATGGCTAGCAACTCTCTGAAGTTGCTACTCTCTGAAGACAGAGCCAACGCCCCTCCCCGCCCCCGACCATTACAGAGCACCCCCCCTATACAAACGGGAGCTAGTGGAGCTCCGGTCCCTCAGTGACCATGCCATTCACCCCCACGAAGCACAGCCAGAGAGCCGTGTGGGACTAACAGAGCGAGCTGCAGGGCGGGCAGCACTGGCCGTGCTGGGAAACCGTAGCGCCTTCAGCTGCTGTGATGGGGTCACAGGGAGAAAAGCGGCCCACCGTGCTGCACATCCCGATGGCGCTGTGTGCAAAGGGCGGAGCAGCTCGGAGCCCGGCCGTGCCCTCACCTCCTCCTTCATGCCCGTCTCCAGCAGCAGCATCACACAGGCTTCGATGGGCAGCGCGATCTCCCGGCCACTCCGCTTCAGGTGTTCCTCCAACGGAGTCCCGAAGGCTGGCTTCTCCGCCCACTTATCTAGAGCAGCAAACCGTCAGTAAGACCTGACAACCCTGCGGCATCCGCGCTGCCCCCCAGGTGCCCACAGGACTGAAGATGCCAGTGTGACCTGGGCCGCAGAGCCCAGGCCCACAGTGGCGAGGCTGGAAGCTGTGCTGACAGCATACAGGCAACTGTTTATTTCCAGGTCACAGGTTCTGCTTGGACCACAAAGAGTTGAGGCAGTGTGGCAGAAACACATCCAACAGAGCAGGAGAACAGAAACAAGGCTCCAGGGCTGTAGTGAGCCAGGCAGGCAGCAAGGGGCCTGGCCTGGCCTGTGGGACCCAGCGCTGCCGGAGGCGCAGAGGGAACCAGCTGGCAGAAACACTCCCATGAGGAGCACTTAGCTCTTCCCAGCGACAGGAAGGGCTCCTGTCCTCCTCCCACCGTCAGTGGGCAGTCATTCGCCTCACAGCCACTTTGCTGCTCGCACTTGGATGGAGCAGTGCCATGTCCCTGGCGCTCACCCACAGGTAAGAGCAGGTGCAGAGCCCACTGCAGAGCTGCTGTCGGGGAGGAAGAACGAGCCCCACAAGTCCATGGAGAAAGGTGGGCAAAGGCTGAGGACGAGGTGATGAGGGGCAGGGGACAAAGTCAGAGAGCAGGCCACTCTCAGAAGTGTCAGGAGCCCCTCGTCTCTGGTCCAGTCCTGGCGAGTAGACCAGTGGACTAACAAAAAAAGCAGCCAGGGGCCTGGCCCTTCTCAGGCAGAGCTCTGTGACGGCCCCTCAGAGGGATCTCACTGTGAATGCTTTGTCCTTTTTATCTAAGGCGATGATTCTTGATGTGAGCAGAACACGGCCATTGAACCACCCAGGGAGGCTGGGCCAAGGCACCTGTCACCAGAGCCCTGCTGGAACTTTCTAGTAAACCCTGTGTCCTAACCCCCAGCCTGCTGAAATGTGAGAACCACTGATCTAGAAACAAACTCCTGGGGCAAACTCCACCAAGGTTGGTGGCCTCTCGGACAACACACCTACTATGTGCGCAGCGCTGCACAGGACCCGAGCTAAGAGCCCCCTTCAGAGTGAGAGCCATCTAATTGTGAAAAAAGTACAGGACACACATGTGAACACACATCAGCAACGAACAAGACAAGACACATTTGCTGCATCCGGGCAGAAAGAGGGCAGACAAGGGGCACAAGCGTGGTCTCCATGGGGCCAGGAGGGCCCCACCCCGTCCGTGCTCTATCAGGGGGGAGCACAGGGTCTCCCGAAAGGCCGCAGCTGCCCTCGGAGCCACACCGTGCTGCCCGCAACAAGCAGACCCTGGTCACGAGACCTTCTGAACTTCCAAGGGAAGCCAGGAAGGTACTGGTTTTTTAAAAATGTTTAATGAGATACGGCAGTTGGCAACTTCTAGTGTAGACCACACGTGAGAGCAATTCCGAGACAGGCGGGCTGCTGGCTCCCGCTGTGGGAGGAAGAGCCTGGGCCTTGGAAAACAAGACTGGAAGGAAACAGACGGGGAGACGGACTGAAGAGAGACCGGGAGCTTGGGAATTTGCATGTTACCCCACAGCAGGCGGAGGGGAATGGGCAGAACCGGCCGCGGGGCGAGAAGGGAAGAAGCTGCTCCACAGTTCAAGCAGGACTGCCTGAGAGAAGGACAGACAGCTGGTGTGAGAGCGCCGTTGGGACAGCCAGTGGTGAGGGACTGCCGCGCAGCACTTCGAGGACTGAGCGCAGGTGAGAGCGAGGGTGGTCAGAAGGGGGGCGCAAGGGGAAAGGATGAGGGAGGGCTGGGGGTAAAAAACTCAGAGCAAGGACCCGGCCCTGGAAAAGGGGAAGGGGCAGAAATGGACCTAAGAGTGAAAGAAAGCAATCGAGTGAAATGAGGGAAAACTTTAACCAGGAAGAAATGGCCCAAGTCACATAAAGCGCCAGGATATGACAATTAAGAGATCACTGTTCTTTCGGAAATCAGTGTTTTGTGTGTGTGTGTGTGTGTGTGTGTGTGTGTGTGTATTTTTATTGATTTCAGAGAGGAAGAGAGGGAAATAGAAACAACAATGATGAGAAAGAATCATTGATTGGCTGCCTCCTGCATGCCACCTACAACCCAGGTACGTGTCCTTGACCAGAATCGAACCCAGGACACTTCAGTCCACAGGCCAACGCTCTAACCACTGAGCAAACCGGCTAGGGTTGTTGTTTTTAACTAGCAGAGTGATTGGGAACAGAATCCAGATGGCGTGTTTGGGAGTGGGAAGGAGGTAAGAGGATGCAGTGGCAGGCGGAGATGAGTCACGCACTCCAAGATCCCACCAGTAGATGGAGAAGGTTAGAGGGGACACTGACCAAAGGCCAGCTGATCGTGAGCGGGAGATCAGGGCACGCAGGGGCATGGGGCAGTGGAGTCGAGTTTTTCCCGACCTAAGGATACTCGGAGTCTTTCTGAAAACAGAGAAGGAAAAGGAAGAGGGAGACAGCCACGATGAGAGGCAGATACGAGGACAGGCTGAATTAGGCTGGGAGGCAGCAGCCTCAGGGAGCGAAAAGATCACATGGGCATCCCAGTTGTGCCCCCACCAGCGTTCCTTATTCCACCTCAACCCCGTCCCTGCCCCCTCCTCCTCCCTGTGACTTTCTGACATACTTCTCTAGGGAAAATAGGCTTGGGAGAAAAATAAAAGGAAAGTTAAAAAAAAAAAAAAAAAAGGAATGCTAAATAAACCTTTTCTTTTTTGTGCTTGTTTACTACTTGGTCCTCTGCAGGGCCCTGCACACAGTAGGTGTCCCATGAACACACTCTCTGTGCTCTGCCCGTGCTGTGTGAGGCTGAATGCTCGCCGCAGCTGTTGTTCTGTACTGTGGCTCCCACCTGCCAGGCAGGAACTAGGAAACAGGACCCAGAAGAGCAGGGGCAGCTCGTCTTGTGGAGAATTGGCCAGCCACACACCGAGATGGCTAAAGATCAGACTCGGCGGTCATCGGGGCACAGAACTGCCCAATTCAGTCTAGAAACTTGCAGCCACAAAGCCCAACCTGCTGGGCCCTCCTAAGAGTTAGTGAAGTGGCACATGCCCCTACCCACACACGTGCTCCCTCTTTCACAATCACAGTGAGCACGCGCAGCACCTGGCTGCGCCCTCTCAGCTCCAGACCCTGATTTTGCCGGGAGAACCTAAGCTCCAAATGTCGGGTCAAACAGTAGAGCAGGACCAGGCACTGCACCTTCTGCCTCAGCCATGTCCACTCATCTCTGCTGGCAAGTACTGATGGCGAGTCAGAGAGAATTAGAACCAAAAGCTTAGTGTTCAGTTAAGCCATCAAACAAAACATCCACTCATCCCGGCGGGCGGAATCTGCCGTGTGCCAGAAAAGGGCGGCCAGAGTACCAGTGCTGATAAGCACACGAGCCCGTGTCCAGACACGGAGGAGGTCTGAACGGCGTGGCCGCAGTCCTACCACTTGCTCAATTACCAAAAAAGTGCCTGATGGAGCACCACAGACTGGCTTCTAAAATTCCTATTGCAAATTCCCAACCATTTTCCCTAGGATGTATGCTCATGCAATCACAGGTCAGAATCAAGCCCGTGGGACTAATCACTGAACTGGGAAAAGATCGTCAGAGGCTGGAATGGGTCAAGCCTATACAGAAGAGAAAAACCACCAGGAACTGCTCCCCCTCCTCCCCAAGAGTCCAGTTCTCTCTTCAACTGAAGATCCCAGAAGATGTTTAATGTCCCATTAGTGTGTTAATGGGGTTAGGAGAAATTAGAGAATGCAGCAAGGAAAGATGGAACTGTGCTGAGCACTGGGCGCTCCGGGCCAGGCGGCACCCGCAGGGAAGGCATGCAGGGGCTGGGCGGGGCGGAGGAGAGGCGCAGAGGAGAGCGGCAGCAGCACGCAGGTTACGTTACCTTGATGGGCTTGCATTTCGGGAAGGGCCTTTTCTAAGACTGCTAATGCTTTTCTATGGTAATCTGCTTGGGCTTCTAATAACTGAGAACAGACCCACATTCAAAAACAAAAGTAATGTTAGCAATGGATGGACACACACACAATGGCTGAGCAAAACTAAAAATAAAATCTTTTGCAAACACCCTAAAATGACAATTTTTACAACACTACCATTCGGTCAGGGCCAAGGGCTTACCGTGACAAAGAACTTGCTGTACTCCCCCTCTTTGGCCATGAAGCTGTACATGTCTGCTGCCAGCTGGTCCTGGAGAGAGAAGGCACGTCACTGAGAAACAGCCGAAGGAAATGGCACCTAGATTTGACCTCTGGGAGCTCCTCTCACAAACAGGAAGGAAATGGCGCTGAAGAAGTGTCCATCATCTGATGGACAACCAGGTGTGGGGACCACAAAAACAAACAAGGAAGCTTATGAGGGATGCACATGGAAAGACCTCCATGGTATGTAGTTAATACACCGTTAAGAAGTGAATAGAGCCCAACTTACAGTATGTTATTACTTTAGTAAAAAGAGAAAAAAATGTTATATATTTTTTGCTATAATTATATAAAAACTAGAGGCCTGGTGCATGAATTCATGCATGGGTGGGGCCGGCCAGCCCACCTGATTGTGCTGATTAGGCCAGGCTAGCCGGAGGCAGGGTATGAGGAGGCTGCCCAGCTGGCCGACCTCCCAGTCAAGGGGACAATTTGCATATTAGCCTTTTATTATATAGGATATTTCTAGAAGAAATTAGTAACAGTGGTTACCTGTTGGAGGTGGTGAAAATTAGGCAGGAGGAGGAGAAGGATGGAAGAAAAACTTTATTATACATTATTTTATACTTTTGATATTTTTTAATTAATGTAAGTGATTTACATAAAAATTAAACAGGCCCATCTGGTGTGGCTCAGTGGTTGAGTGTCGACCTATGAACCAGGATGTCATGGGTTCAATCTCAGTCAGGGCACATGTCTGTGTTGCAGGCTTGGTCCCCAGTGGGAAATATACAGGAGGTTGCTGATCAATGATTCTCTCTCATTGATATTTCTACCTCTCTCCCTCTCCCTTCCTCTCTGTCTAAAATCAATTTTAAAAAGTTTAAAAAAATAAGTAAAAGTTAAACAGTTTTTAAAAAATTGATAGATTAGGCAATTGGATACATATACTTCATATATATATATATATATATATATACATATAATTTTCATATATATACATATCAGAATTTCATATATATTTAACGTACTATTTTCTGTTTTTAGCATCAAGGAGCATAAAATTCACATGAAGGCCCTCATTAAAAAAAAAAAAAAAAAAAAAATCTGACCATGATAGTAGTAATAGACAACTGGGAATGCAACAAAGTAAATTGATGGATTCCCACCAGACCTACCCTCCCCGGCAAAAAAAAAAAAAAAAAAAAAAAAAGAGAAAAAGAAAAAGAGTAAGGAGAGAGAGGGAGGGAAAGAAAGAAAGGAAGGAGGAAGGGAAGATGGATGGATGGGGGTAGGAAAACCCTGTCATGCACAAAAGCTGAATGGGAATGACTTGGTGAGAGTCTGTGCTAATTTTGGTAGCCAAGGTGTTTGAGTCCAGCAGTCATGTGGGACCAGAGGACAGAAAATGAATCCTTGGGCCTGGTGAGATGAGGTGCATGCATGTCACCCATAAAGATAACATTTCTGAAATGATACTCTCAAGGAAGAGTGGATTAGGAAAAAGTCGCTAAGCAGGCATAGACATCATGGAACACACCTGTTTGGGATTGGGCTCTGGGTCTGGGAAAGTAAAACATCTCCCTGAGATCTCATAAACATATTCCTCCCAGTGATATCAGCAACAATCAAGGCTTAACTACAACAAGACTGTGCACACAGCCCACAAAGGGGTGCACCAAAAGTGTCCCCCTGAGGTAACTGGGGAGGCTGAGCCACTGGGCCCTATAGGACACCTAGCACACAAAGCCACTCTATCAACTCAGGGAAGCAGCCAAAATGAAGAGACAAAGAAAAAAGTCACAAATGAAAGAAATGGAGGAAGCAAATGACTGGCTATAGAGTTCAAAACCACAATTATAAGGTTTTTCAAGAATTTTCTAGAAAAGGCTGATAAATTTAGTGAGACCCTCAAGGATATAAAAAAGGACCAACTATAATAGAAATTAAGCATACACTGACTGAAATAAAAAATAATATACAGAGATCTAACAGCAGACTAGAGGATTGCAAGAATCAAGTCAAAGATTTGAAATACAAAGAAGCAAAAAACACACAACCAGAAAAGCAAAAAGAAAAAAGAATCAATCCAAAAATATGAAGATAGTGCAAGGAGCCTCTGGGACAACTTCAAGCGTACCACATCTGAATTATGGGGGTGCCAGAAAAAGAGAGAGAGCAAGATACTGAAAACCTATTTGAAGAAATAATAACTGAAAACTTCCCCCACCTGGTGAAAGAAATAGACTTACAAGTCCAGGAAGCACACAGAACCCCAAACAAAAGGAATCCAAAGAGGACCATATCAAGACACATCATAATTAAAATGGCAAGAGCAAAAGACAAAGAGAAAATATTAAAAGCAGCAAGAAAAAGCAGGGAGTTACCTATAAAGGAGCACCCTTTCTATTTCTCAACAGAAACTAGCAAGCCAGAAGGGAGTGGCAAGAAATATTCAAAGTGATGAATAGCAAGAACCTACAACTAAGATTACTCTACCCAGCAAAGCTATCATTGAGAATTGAAGATCAGATAAAGAGCTTCACAGATAAGAAAAAGCTAAAGGAATTCATCACCACCAAACTAGAATTATATGAAATGCTAAAAGGTATTTTTTAAGAAGAGGAAGAAGAAAAAGATAAAGATAAAAATCATGAACATCAAATATATATCTATCAAATGAATCTAAAAATCAAGTGAATAAGAAATCTGATGAACAGAATAAACTGGTGAATATAATAGAATCAGGAGCACAGAAAGGGAGTGAACTGACAATTCTCTGGTGAAAGGGGTGTGGGGGGTGTGGGAAGAGACTGGACAAAAATCATACACCGCCGAAACCGGTTTGGCTCAATGTATAGAGCATCAGCCTGCGGACTGAAAGGTCCCGGGTTCGATTCCAGTCAAGGGCATGTATCTTGGCTGCTGGCTCATCCCCATTGAGGGGGGGGGTGTGTGTGCAAGAGGCAATTGATTGATGATTCTCTCTCATCGATGTTTCTAACTCTCTATCCCTCTCTTCCTCTCTGTAAAAAGTCAATAAAATATATATATTTTTTTAAAAAAATCATACACCTATGGATGAGGGAAGTGGAAGGGTGATAAAGGGCACAGGGTGGGGTGGGAACCGGGTGGAGAGGAACTATGGGGGGAAAAAAGAGGAACAATGTAATAAACTGAACAATAAAGATTTATTAAAAAATAAAATAAAATAAAATAAAACCACCTTAATATCATTTAAAGTATTTTGATAGAAATTATGTAAAATACTAAATAATTTGCTACCTTTCATCCATCATTTGAAAAACCCAAAAGATTGATGCAAACACATGTTCTCAGACCTTGCACTGTTCTACTTTATTCCCAGCTTCGTCCATCTCTTCCTTCAGAGTGTCTATTTTTGATGGAAGCCCCTGAAAGTTGGTTCCTGAAGATTTGTGAGCCTGGTTCCACCTGCAAAGCACGAGGGTAGATAGGATATGAGAACCAGCTTACACACTCAACCTTACGAACCTCAGGGAGCCAAACTCCATCCCTAAAACGGATTCTGCCTGGGACAGGCGCCAGTACCTAGGACGCCAGCTTCTCTTAAGTTTACCCTCTCAGAATAGAAGGCAAAAGAGTTTCCCACCATGGAGGATCTGTAGTGCCGGGAGTAGCGTTCTGCTCCCAGCAGGACTGACCACATCTTGTCTCGCACAAGCCCCACCGCTGAACCTCAGACCACGAAACTCCTTGCTAGTGTCTAGTCATGGAATTCTTGCCATGAAACACCCCTCCCCTCTTGCCTTGATCTGTAATGTTCCCTGTACCACTGGGCATCAGTGCATTTCTTGTGACCTCTTCCTAGTACTATCTTGGGCTGTGATTACTTGCAGCAAGTAAAAGCCAGAACCCTAGTCATTCATCCTATACCTAGCAAACCATAGCTATGGAAGCATTTTAAGAATTGAAAACACTTATAAGAAGGAATATTCTAAAAACATATTTACAGCAAATCTCAAATATAACATGGAATATTTATGTTCCTTTTATAGTAAGTAAAAATTACAAACAAAAAACAGCATTGTGCTACAGCAATATGGGGGTTCAGAGTGGAGTAATAACTGAGTAGCGCATGTGATGGAGCAGTGCTTCTCCCCGCATCCCAAGCGAACAGCAATAGGTGGTGCACGTGACCGCCTACAGCAGCTCAGGAGCAAGGAAGGGAGCACCATTACAACTTTGCTAAGCTGCAGTGACAGCACCTGACATGAAGAAACTCAGTAAAGGACAGCTATGTTGCTACATCTGCCAGGCAGAATAATCATATCTACTTCACAGAACTGCAGTGAGAGTTAAGAGCTAACAAGCAGGTGTAGCAAAGCCACGTGGGTTTGTAAATAAAGTTTTACTAGAACACAGCCATGCTCATTCAGGTATGGACTGTCCAGGGCTGCCCATGTGCTACACCAGCAGAGCTGAGCAGATGCAACAGGACCCATCTGAGTTGCAGAGACGAAAACATTTACTACCTGGCACTTTACAGAGGTTGTCAACCCATGTGAGAAAAGGCCTGGCGTGGTGGCTGCCTCCCTATTCCCTGCTCTCAGGCCCAAGGAGAAGCCCAGGGAGGTCACTGATACCAACTGCTACTGAGGCTGTGGCCAGGCCATGAGCATGAGAATGGCTGTACGACACTAGCCCACAAGCGAGCAGCCCTTGGGGGTTACTTAGTTTTACACCAGTGCCTCCCTTCAGAGCACGGCATTTGACCATGAAGGTAATCATAACCACACAGGGGCTCTGACACGCTGGACCCTCAGGAGCTGCTAAAATCTCAGATCTAATTATTCCCACACTCTACTTTGCCAAGAGGGATGCTCTAGAACTGCCTGCCACTTTGGACACTCATTTCTTTTTTCTTTCCTGTCCCTTTTTGTTACTGGTGCACTAAGACCAGGCTGGTCAAACACCATTCCTCCTGCCAAGCTTGGGAAAATGAGGCCTAAAAGCTGGTGTAAGCATATCAGGTGGATAAACCTGCAAAAACTTCCAACTGTCCATACAGCATTCCCTCACCCGAGCTGGGGATGGTGGCTGGGAGGTGACATGATGCCACCTACTGGTTACTCTTCTAGCTTTCCTTACCTGGCTCTGACTGAGTCCCAGTCTAACACCAACTTGGCAAGCTGTTTCCTCTGTTTCTGGATGTTGGGAATCTCCACCTAGAAAAAAACATGCCTTACACCAATTGGGATGAGTTTTGGGTTTCTTGTTTAACATTTAAAAGTGCAGTATTTATTTACAAACTAGGGGTCTGGTGCAGGAAATTCATGCACGGGTAGGGTCTAAGCCTGGCTGGTGGTCAGGGCTGGCCGGGGCCTTCCTTTGTTCCGTGCCGCCCCCTGGTGATCAGCACATGTCATAGTGAGCAATAGAACTCCCGGTCTCCCAGTCGTACTCCCGTGGGGACACTTTGTATATTAGCCTTTTATATATATAAATTTCTTTTCTCTTAGGCAAAGGATTATGAACCATCAATTCACTCCCTGAATTTCCAAAAAAAAGTATATGTCAAAGGCACTGATTATTGTTAAAGTTGCAGACAAAGAACTACTTGCTGCCCAGCCCCCACCAAAGCACCCACCTCTGCTATGACACACAGGGGGTCCACAATCTCCTTCTCAACAAAGACCTCGTGCTGAGAGAGTTCGAGAGCCAGCTGATTCTCGGCATCTCCACACGTCTCCAGCATCCTCCTAAAAAACAAGACGCCCCAGAACAAACTGGTGTTCACTGAATGAGGCACCTAGTTAGCACAGCCAGTTCTGCCCTCCATATGACGGGAACACACAATGGCTGCCATGGACACACCCACCCATCCACTTGTACTGCCCACCAGGCCTCTGGCTCTCTTTCTCAAAAACAGTGCCTCTTACCCCAGGAGAGAGTCCTCTAGCTGTGTCGAGGCCTCTTGCATGTTCTGAGCGAGAGCTGTCAGAGGGAGCTTTTTCTGGAAGGCAGAAGACAGTGCGTCTTTTCGTTAGCATTGAAACCCATTCTAGGATACCTGCTTCAGGTCATCATTCACTTGTTTCTCCTCTAGACAAACTACATAAGTAAGAGACAGCCTGGGTCTAGTTTCAAAGGTATGAGTGGTGAGACTTAAGCTGGGTGTCAGTTTCCTGTGCCTGGATTATAGGGATGAGAATGGGGCGAGGTCTCAGGGCTGTGGCTACCCTACAGGGATTCAACACCAAGTACTCAGCACACGTTAAGTCCTCAGTAAATGGCAGCAGCCATGTTCCTGTTGCTGTACTATTATTATTATTATTATTATTGTTATTATTAATTGATCAAGTGCATACTATGTCCCAGGCACTAGACAGAGTTACTTTGATTATCACAACAAATAAATGCTGTAAGGTGCTCTATTTCAAAAACCTTTGCTAGAACAAGCATTTTTAAACTGGCTGTTAATTTGGCTATAATAATAAAGATTTAGCTTTAGTTACATGTCTAAAACTATCTAGCCAAATTTCCAAATAAACTTTTTTAGGGTTTTAAGCACAAAACCATCTCTTTTCCTATCAGATTTGTTCTTCAACTGAAAATGGCCACAAGAATCACCTGATTAATGTTCTAATTGCACAGCCAAGGAAGCTGGAGGTGGGAGGTGAGATGGAATGGCCAGGCACCTGGGTGAGGGACGGCAGAGGGGTCTGAGTCCTGGGTGTGGGTTTTCCACCACGGGCTGATGGTTTATCTCAGAATCCGAGTAAGAGGAGGGGAAGTAACCAGTGGGGTGGCTACATCACTGCAATCTGCTCACAGAAGGGGCTTCCCTTGCTGCCTCCCCACTAGAAAGGGCACTCCCAACAGAGCAGGCTCCCCTTACTAGGGCACTGTGCCTTGACCTCAGCATGTCCCTCTCTTTCCTGCTTTCGCAGGGCTCCACCCGACATGCTCACACATATCTGCTTGTCTCATATAGAGTCTCCCTAGGAGAAGGGTACCAGGGAAACAGGCTGTGAAGGTCTCATTTTATCTTCTTTGGTATATTGTAGATTTGACCATGTAAGTGGGTAGCTTGCTGAAATGTAAAAATAACTACAAGTATGTTTACTTCTCTGCCTTCCTCCCAAGTTATTTTCAAACAAGTAGTAGGCTTCCCTGCCCTACTGCCATCTCCACACTGCTAGACTAGGAAGACCCCTGAAAACGGGGAGCCTGCTTGGTCACCACAGAGGAAAAGTTGCATATTTCAGTCTGCTGCCTTCCAAGGGCATTTCACACAGGTAACCGTGACAATCAAGAGAAATACACTTGGTGCAGCTCCGGAGCTCTCGGGCCTTTGGGGGGGGAGTCTGTTTATTAAGCATCACCCCAGCTCTCAGTGTCAACAGCCTGTGGCTCCCCTGCCGACCCCAAAGACACAATAACCCTGTCCCCTGAGGTGCCAACATTAGGACATTCTGCTTATTTGACATGTGAGCTCACTGATGAAGATGCGGTCCACCACATTCCAACTCCTCCAAGGAGAGGCAAGGCCTAGGGCTTCAGTGAAAAAACCTCAAGTCGTGATCTATAAAAGGCATGCCAACTGCACACAGAGAAGCAATTCCAGGTCAATACAACCCCAATATGAGCTCTGCCCTGTCAATGGCTCGGGCCCTGTCATCCCCCAATTCTTTCCTCTTCACATGTTGGAGCTACTGGTGGGGCTTGTAGAACCATCCCCTCAGACACTACAGATGTTGGGCGTCCTGTCACTCCTAGAGCCCTAGAGACTGCTGCGACTTTCTCCATATTATATGACCTCTTCTGGTCACCCCTGTTCTATCATTTCCATGGTTACGCCTCTTCCCACATGCAGAGTGCAGGCTTCCTCAGAAGCCAGTTTCGGGCACTTTTGTTTGAGATTGGGAAAGGAAGCTTAAGGCATTAGGTTTTAACAATGAGGACCAGGCACCCTTGCCCCTGCTCCCTGGAATATGCCCATCACCTGCCATTCATTTCCCTTCTGTAATGCTAGGACACCACCTCCTCTAGGAAGCCCACCTGACTCCCCCTCTCCTCCTCTGGTGCCCATTCTTGGTCCTTAAATACCCTGTGCATATTTTATTTAGCATGTTGTTTTATAATCATCCATTTGTGTGTATCTTCCCCACTAGGCTGTGGGCACCTTCAGGGTGAAGGCGACCTGTTACTATTCATCCAGCATTTGTGTGTGTTACGTCTTATTCCTCCTGTGTCTGCTTTGAGGCACAGCCCTGCTGTCACACAAACTCATTAGACACAAACAAACATTTATCAAACACCATACTGTGTGGACAATGCATACTGCATGAAGGAAAGGAAGCAGAAACAATGGGACTGATAAGGGGAATTTAATCAGATTAGCAAGGGCATAAGTCAGCTAACAGCTTGGACCTTACCCCGAAAAGGCAGCAGCACGTCCCTGACAGGCGCTGCTGGCATTGGGGCACCTTTAGGTGTAGAACTATCTCCTCAGACACTGCAGATGTTGGGCGTTTTGGTTCCCGACCCTCCAAATGCCAGTAGTGTACCTCAGTCTCTATGGCAACCAAAAATGTTCCTACACATCTCCAGATATCCCAAGAGTGTAGCCTGGTCCCTGTTGAGAACAGCTAAATGAAGATTTTTTGTGGATTTTGTTGGTCTCTTTGTTTTAAGGCAGGAGGATGACAGAATCGATCTGTACTTCAGGAAACCAACTCTGGTGATCAGATTGAAGACGGTCTGGAAAAGAGGCTGACCCGGGCAGGCAAGGCCACTCCGGAGGTGCCTGTGGCAGCCCAGGTTTCACTTTGGGACCAGGTGGCAGAGTGGGAGGGGAGGGGAGGAAATCAAACATTCATAGAGAATTGCAAGACATGCTTACTGAGCTGCTCCAGAACACTGAGGGCAAACTGAACTGAAAGGGATGTAAGATAACCTGCAGTTTCTAGCTTGTGAAAACGGGGGACAGAATTTGAGCCAGCACAGAAGAACTGGTTATACATGTCAGATAGATAGCGAGGGCAGGGAGCTTTCTACTTGGCTGAAAATGGTTTAGAAGTCCCTGTATACAGACATCATATAAAAGCCATGAGACTAGAGGAAGTGGCTCAGAGAACGAGACTGTGAGACCGAGAAGGACAGACCTCAGGAAACAATATTAAAAGGGCAGGCAGAGCAAAAATCGTGGCAAGAGAAGGAGCGGCAAGGGCAGCCCCGGGGCATTGGGCTGATTCTGAAGAACGAGACGTGCGCAGGCACTCCTGGGACTGTAGGTGTTTGCAAACTTCCACTCCTTGACATACACACTGCAGAATGCTTGGCGCTATGCAAGAGAGGAATGACCCAGTTGTCAAAATGCCCCATAAGTGTCTGTCGAGAATGTAAAAGAAAGTGACACAGGTCATCTGTGTACCAACTTGTCCTTTTGAGACATCAGGTGACAAAACAACCTAGCCAAAAGAAGGTTTCTCGCCCCAGTAAGACAACCACTGGAAGCCCTGACCAACGTGGCTCAGTGGGTTGGACACTGCCTGGTGCACTGAGCAGTTGCTGGTTTGATTCCCAGTCAGGGCACATGCCCGAGTTGTGAGCTCGAATCCCATTAGAGGACGTGCAGAATGCAGCCAACTGATGTTTCTCTCCCCGCCTCCCTCTCTTTCTCTCCCCCCCCCCCCCCTCTCTCTCAAAAAAGCATATTTAAAAAAAAGATACCACTGGAAAGAGATGCTTTCTACTCCGGGTGGACACACACAGGAGAGCCCGGGGAAGCTGCGAACAGCCAACCGGCAACTAGGAGGAGTGTTCGCTAGGGGTCAAGCGGACACTGAGGGGAGAAATGAGAGAAGGAAAGACACTGGGGCTTGTGGCTTCATCACTGAAATGCTAGCTAGGAAGCCAATAAACTCTACTTTCTAGGTGAATTTCAGACAAGCCTTCAGCTTCTGCCATTAAAGGATTCCTAACTGACAGGTCCATTCTCTAATCAATGACAAATGGCTCAAGTCAAAAGCACTGGAGTGAGCAGGGCTTTCAGCTCAACGATAACTTAAGCTCAAAAGAATGTTGTGGGCGGGCAGGTGTTGTGAGCCGAACGTGAGATGAGGTACAAATCTGCAGGCCAAGCTGCTGGTGTTGCTTGGGGAATCCAGCTGGTCAAAGGAGAAGCCCCCCAAAGAGACAAGAACCGAGAGCGGAGTCGCATCTGCTACTCACGTGTCTCTTGTCGGTGTCCGTGCCATGCTGGCCCTGGAAGCATGCCGTCAGGCGCTTGTGAGAGTGATGGCACATTGACCGCACCGCATCCAGACGCCGTTCGATCTGGCAAACAGAGACAAAGGAGCCATTGCAGGGCTGAAGAACAAACTCGGCCTCTCCTTAGGCGGCGCCTGCACTGGGCAGTGAAGCACCCTGCAGTCAGATTTGTTGGCTTCTGGTAAAAATGCGTGGGCTGTGGGGAACTGTCCTGTGAGTGACTGCATGTGTGGCACCATCTCTGGCCTTTATGCACTGGATGTCAGTAGTTGTGAAAACCAAACCTGTCTCCAGAAAAATGTCCAATAACCCCTCAGAGAGCAGTCACCTCTGGGTGAGACCCACTGACCTCCCTCCTTCTGAGGGCTTTAGATCCCCGAGAGGCTGAATCTAAACCTGCTCCAGAAAGAGCAGTGGCGGTGACGTCACACGCCACACACCAGGAACATGCCAGGTCCAACCTCCAGCGCAGACCAGGCCCAGGGCGGGGAGGGAGAGCCACAGGGCCCTCAGCAGCTCTCCTGCTCGTGGCAATGTGGCCGTCCACACACAGACAGCAAGCAGAAGACACACAGCAAATGTCCACAATTTAACCTCAGGGTCCGTGTTTTCAAAACTATTCCTATTGGACTTGGCATAGGTTTTTGTCTTTGTTTTTGAAATAAGCCTCTAAACAGAATGGCAGCCGGTAGTAAGAAACACTGACTTAGGGGACCCCCGCATCATGATTTGCTTCCCAAAATATTACTGCTGGGATATGGCCATTTATGGCAAAGGAGCTGCTTTTTACAGGAAGGAATGCCAAAAATGTGTATTCTAATGACTCACTAAGAATGAATAGGCCCTTAGGGATGCTTTCTATTTTAAAGAAAAATCAACAAATTCAAGGCAGAATGTACTTTTACCCCAAACATTTTACCCAAGGAGGAGGTTCTGTGCCTCTTCCCCTCAGGCCCTCATGCACAAGCAGCTTTCATCCTGAGACAAGCCTGGTGGGTCACCAGGGGGGCTGGCAGGCACATTCACATTTAGCAGCAAATGCCACATCAGCTTCCCCAGAGCTTACAATGGCCAGATTTAAAACATTCGAAAATTAATACACACTCTTCAGTGGCCACAAAAGCCTGGGGGAAGCCACCCAAAACACTCCATTTCATTTTGACTCCCGTTTGCACTAGAATGTACAGTCAGCAGGGACAAGGCTGTGGTCTGTTCTCTCACTCCATATCCCAAGTACCTGGAGCGCTGTCTGGCACACAATGGAAGGTGCTCACTTACTATCTGTTGAAAGGACACGTATCTACTGAGTCCCCATGCAAGGCATTAGAAAAGGAACAAAACATGCGTGGTGGCTCTTCCTCCTGGGAATCACAGTTGCCCAGGAAACAACATGCAAGCTAAATAAGAAGGCAGCCTCTTAATCAGCTCTCACAGAGATCCAGGAAAAGATGCAGGACAGCGATTTTCGACTGGTATGCCATGGAAAGAATTTTTATTTTTTATTTATTTAAAAAAATATATATACATATATTATTGATTTTTTATAGAGAGGAAGAGAGAAGGATAGAGTGTTGGAAACATCGATGAGAGAGAATCATCCATCAGCTGCCTCTTGCACACCCCCTACTGGCGATGTGCCCACAACCACGATACATGCCCTTGACCAGAATCGAACCTGGTACCTTTCAGTTCGCAGGCTGATGCTCTATCCACTAAGCCAAACCAGTTTCGGCAAGAATTTTTAAAATATGCAACACCAGGAGCCCTGACCTCTTTTCCCTTAGATCGTCAGTGAAAAAAATGACAGCAGCATCCAGTGTGAATGAATCAAAATTATACCTACTTTTTGTTTTTTTGGTGTGGTGTGTTCTTTTGGTGTGCTACATTGACTGTAATTAGCGTATGTGTGCCATGACATGAAAAGGCCGAAAATCGCTGGCGTAGGTGGACAGAGCAAGTTAAGGGAAATTTCACACCAGAAACAAAATCATCACCGGCCGCAACAGCGGAGCAAAACAACACGCCACCCTTCAGCAGCACCACGCGCCGCGCTCCGCCCATGCTCTCCAGGGTAAACTGAGAGATGGATACAGCTGCTACCCGCCTTTCACAGAACCGGAAACGGAGCCATGGGGTGGTTAAGTAAATCCCGAGGCCACAGAGCTAGGCAGGGGCAAACCTGGAGTTTGAATCCAGGTAGCGGGGCACCAGACTCCACACCTTTAAACACTATTCTCCCTCTTTACACTTAAAAACAACAGAAATCAGAAAAACATCTCAGCAATTATGGTGGACACGGTTATCTGTGTCACAAAATAAGGCGTTCCTAGAATCTGGCAGCCTCCTCAGGCCAGCAGATGTTTGGGCAAGGGGACAAGAGCAGATGGCTGCTGCCTGCACTCCAGGGAAGGGGCCGCTGGCCTCATCTCAGGATTTCAAGGATTGAGTGAGGCGATGTATGCCACTGGGGCGGGGGTGGGCGAGAGATACTGACATTTATGAAAATGGGTGTGGTTGAGGCTTAACCGGACCAAACAATATTTCTGAACATCTGAAAATGAGTTAGAAATATATGACAAATAAAACAATGGGAAAATATTAAGACTATCATTCTTTAATAAATCTTTGGGGGGAGAGGGTCTTCTAATCCTTAATGAAAACTTCCAGTCCTAAAAAAAAAAAAAAAAGAAATGAAACTGTGCTCTTAAAATATTCTGCTGCAGATGGCTGTCATAATTAGGACGTTGCGGCGTGACATGGTAGAAGCAGCATTTTAAAAAAGCACGCGCCTTCCCTGCACAGGGAGTCGCCAGGGAGCAGGCCTTTGGTCCTCGGGGACGCCCTGGAGCAGACGGGCAGTTCACAGAAATGAGAAGCAAGGAGGCAGATGAGGAGGGCTGTCCTTCTTCTGAGGTGTCTGTATGGGTGCGAATGGAGTAGGATAGGGTGAAGTGCTATGGATCAAGATCCTGGGCCGTCAACCCAGCCCTAACGTTAGGGAAACCTGCTGAGAGATGGAGGGGAGTGGACCTGGCTCAGGCCCGGGGCAGCAAGCCTCTCCCTACCAAGGAAAGAAAGTTTGAGCTAATGACTTGAGGCCAACCGATTGCCTCATGGTGATTCTGACATCCAGTCCACTGTCACTGAGACCCTAAATCCCGCAAGGCCCAACTCAACTCAGTCGGGAAACTAGATTGTAAGAGGGGGCAAGGAGTCAAAACTCTAGGCCCTGGCTGGTTTGGCTCATCTTGCTGACTGATGGGTCCTGGTTTCAATTATGGTCAAGGGCACGTGCCTGGGTTTCGGGCTCAGTCTCCAGTGGGGACGTGCAGGAGGTAGCCGATTGATGATTCTCTCTCATCATCGATGTTTCTATCTCTCTCTCCCTCTCCCTTCCTCTTTGAAATCAATAAAAATTAAAAAAACAAAACAAAAAACAACTTTAGGATGAGCCCTGGCCACATGTGTAGTTCAGTGGTTAGAATGTCTGCCTACATACCAAAGGTCAACAGCACATGCCTGGGATGCAGATTCGTCCCCATCCCCAGGTGGAGCATGTATGGGAGACAAACAAATTGCTGTTTCTCTCTTCCTCCCTCCTCCCTCCCTTCCACTCTAAAAAAATCAATGGGAAAAAAATAACCTCGGGTGAGGATTAACCAAAAACAAACAAATAAAAAACTCCACACAACTCTAAGCTGAAGCCAGTGGGGCCTCTGCTGCAGCTGGCAGGGCCTCTCCCATCAAAGGCATCATCACAGCAGCAAACTGCAGCCCCTCGACCTGCCCAGGCCCACACCCCACTCCAACACCTGGCGCTAGACAGCAGGGCCAGCCTCATGTGACACCACAGCGTGACCAGTTTCACATCCCCTTTATCACATGCAACAACGGCCATTCTTTCCTGCTTAAACCATGCGAGCCATGTCATTCTACTTTAGGCTTAAAAAACAATAAGCTTCAGCTCTCACCTATGGATTTTTTTTTAGCATGCCTTTACTTTAAACAGAATATTTTACAAATACGTTACCTGTAGCAGATCTTCACTGAGGACTTCTGTTTTCTCAGCTCTGTAGGGAAAATTAAAGTTCAGAGTTAGAGATCCAGAAATGAAAAGCAACTCAGGACAATTAATAATTATTACCCAAGAATTTAAAACAAAACAGGCAGAAATGAATGTAACTAGTGGAGAAATTCTATCAATTTTTATATCAGAGGACAACTTAAGCAAAACCCAAGTTATTGTGGTTTTTGTGTATGTGTGTGTGTAGGAGGGGAGGGGGGTTTGTTTTTTACTACAATCTAAGTGCCATTTGGACTCCTGACTCAAATAGTGATTTAAGCCAAGCTGTTTAGCAAACCTACCAAATTATCTTGGAAATAAACAGGACATTTTTAAGAGAAAGGGAAAAAGTCTGTTGCAGTCCTTAGCACTGGGGAGTGGCAGAGAAAGGGAAGGCGGTGCACCAGGAACTGAGCCTTTGTATGAGATTTACTGCAGAATGGAAGTGCTTATCTTGCCCAGGAACTATTGCAAGAAAAGGAAAAGTCATGAGGCCAGAAAGTGAATGGGACTCACTAAAATGATCCCAAAACATTGCTGGGCCCAGAAGAGCGCCAGTTGCCACCAGTATGGTGTGCACACCTCCAGCCGACCCGTAAAGCCAAGACTGCCACAGAGTCTCCGATACCCGCTGCCACAGCAGTGCCCATGGACTTGGCTGGCCACGAGAGTGGCTCCCTCACCATTTTCTGCAGGAAACCGAACTCTGACCTGACTCCAGTATCTCCCAGGTCTGGAGGAGCAGGGCCTGCAGGAGGCCAAAATATGCCAGCGAGAACTCACTTGCATGCAGGGGGCCCAGGAGTGACGCCAGTTAGGAAAGTGGAGGCCAGGGCTCCAGCTGGACATGAGCTCAGGGAACCAGCCTCAAACAGAACTCCAGCAGCCAACTAACGGACAGGCCTGGCATGAGGCCGCCGCAGCTTCCTGCCAGGCGCCTGCGCCCCATAGCCTCTCCCTTTTTCTAGCAAAATGCCACCAGGGACTGTGGGACTTTGACAGTGTCTTCCCTGGCCAACACCAGGGGCCTGCGCCGGGCCTTGCACACCTCTGACACCTCTGCCCTCTGCGAGGAAAGTGTACACAGAGGAAACCCCAAACTCCAACAGCACACACTGGACCCCTGAGCAAGGGTGAGGAGAGCAAATACCTCCACAGCCAAAAAGGCAGATGACTTTTTACTCTCCCCACCCTCACTACTAACAGCCTACTCAACCGGTAACAGTTAACACATACTTTGTATATAATATGTATTGTATACTGTATTCTTACAATAAAGGCAGAGAAAGAAAATACACTTTTAGTATTTACGACAGTTTAAACATATCTTTAAATAAATGTGCCTGTGCAGTTCAAGCCCGTGTTGTTTCAGGGTCAGCTGTATTCGTAAGTTCAAAAGAAGAGATTCGGAGCAAATATGTCCTCTTATGAAATGAACTTGTTTTATATATTTATTTTTAATATATTTTTATTTATTTCAGAATGACGAAGGGAGAGGGAGAGAGAGATGGAAACATCAATGATGAAGAGAAGCACTGATTGGCTGCAGTCCCCAGATGTGCCCTGACCAGGAATTGAACGGTGACTTCCTGATTCCTAGGTTGATGCTCAACCACTAAGCCAGGCCAGCTGGGCTGAAATGAACTTATTTCAAAACTATAATAAAAGAGGAGGGAAGCGTGCATTACAATCCCAGTGTGGGATGTCAGCAGGGGTGTGCTGGGATTCGTGCAGGAGAATCACTACATGCAACTTTTCCTAGCTCTTTGTTCAGGGGCCTCACACTGGTAATTTGAAAAGAAAAAGAAAAATACAAATAAGCACAAACAATACAAATCAGAAATTTTGTGGGGTAGGAGGGGATTCAGATGTTAAAACATTATGAGCACAGCACTGCAATAGCCCCCGCCCCTACAAAAACCCAAGTATTAACTTCAGAAAAAAAACCCAAAAAGTCCATCAGAAAGATAATCATAGCACACTACTATGCTCACCTTCAAATATTTACTATGATAACGAATAGTAATATATCCAGAAATTGTAATGTAATTATATTGGCAAGGTAAAGGAGCAGAAGCAGAGAGGAAGGTTACACAAAAAGCCTAAACCATCATTTATCATAAGAGGTCAATAAGTTATACCTAAACTTGGTAACTCAAAGGGTTGCAGTTTACACATATTTATAAACATGAATGAGTAAAGGCCGGAATAAAGAGATAAAATGTGAAGGGAGTTGCCTCTTTCTTTGGTTGGGGAATCTCAACGAGAAGAGTGAGATGTGTGGGGAAGAATCCACTCTACTTGGTGGTAAGCCTTCTATGGTTATTTGACTTTCTAAACTATACAGATACATAGTTTCATATTTTTTAATGTTAGTTACATTTTCAAATAACACGCTTGATCTGATTTTAAGTGAAGCATAACTGCTTTAAAGCACTGTGTCCAACCGCCAACCTACAAAAGTACAACAGAACACATACCTCAGCGTATCCAAAATACAAGGCAAACCAGCATTATTTTCCCACTAACAAATTAACAACTGGATCCTTTGCTTTAAATTTAGAGGCCTTTTACTTGAAAAGGTATCTGGAAGCTAAAAAATATATGAAAATGTGTACACGCTGTTCAAAAATAAATTTGCACTATGTCTCCTGCCTTTGTGAACACTGTATTATTGCATTGATAAAATTAATTTTAGAAAGATTTCCAATGTATCTTCTTAACCAGATTTTAGGGTTTACTGAAATAATCTAAAATTTCCCATAATCAGGAGAGATTACTTTTTCTCCCAGCTTTACTGAGGTATAACTGACAAACAAAATTGTATCTATGTAAAGTATGCAATGTCCTGATTTGATTTACACTGTGAAATGATTATCACAAACTCACCTATCACCTCCTACAGTTACCCTTTTTGTTATAGTTGTAAGAATGCTTAGTAAACTTCCAGTATATAATACACTATTATTAGCTGTGGTCACCATGCTGTACATTAGATCCCAGAACATATTCATCTTACCAACATCTCCCCGTTTCCCCCACTCCCTAGCTCCTGGCAACTATGACTGTACTCTGTTTCAATGAATTCACTTTTATTTTTATTCCACATGTGAGGTCATACAGTGTGTCTGTGTCTGGCTAATTTCACTTGTATAATGTCCTCCGGGTTCACCATGTTGTCGCGAATGACAGGATTCCTTCTTTCTCAGGGCTGGGCAATATTCCAGTATGTGTGGGTATTGCATCTTTGTCCTTTCACACAATGGTAGGTCGTTTTCACATCTTGGCTACTGTGAATGCTGCTGCATTGAACATAAAAGTGCCGATATCTGAGATATTGATTTTGTTTTCCTCAGATGTATACTCAGAACTGAATTGCTGGACCATAAATAAGGTAGTTCTATTTTTAATTTTTTGAGGAGCCTCCATACTGTTTTTCATGGTGATTGTATCAACTGACACCAACAGTGTAAAAGTGCTCTAATTTCTCATATTCTAACATTTGTTATTTCTTGTCTTTTTGATAACAGACATCCTATGAAGTGATATCTCACTGTGGTTTTCCAGATACCTGTTAGCCATTTATTTATCTTTTTTTGAAAAATATCTGCAATCATGCCCCCTTTGGAAAAATGTCCACAATCATGCCCTGCACAATGGCCAACAACAGACAGCGCGCGCACACACACACACACACACACACACACACACCAGTAGTCCCATAAGATTATGATGAAGCTGACAATTCCCATTGCCTGCTGACGCTGTACCATCATGATGCTGTACCATTGCGATGTAGTTGCATAAAGGTTGCAAAAATCAGCAAGGCTGTGGCTGAGATGGCAATGACTGAAACTGGGCGAGGAAGAGGGTGACACAGAAGAGCTCGGAGAGGTGGTCCTGAGGAACTGACTAATGAGGAGTTGTTGGAACTGAATAGGAATACAGCTGAAGAGGAGGCAAGAGAAAAGGAAACTGCAGAAGAAAAAGAACCCCAAGAAAATTCATAGGGAAGGGTTCAGTTCAGCAGATGTTTTTGCAGACCTCAACAAGCTCTTTAAAATGTTTTAAAAACATGCTCAATACTGAAAGGTTTTCATTCATAGAGAGGGAATGTTGCCCTAACCGGTTTGGCTCAGTGGATAGAGCGTCGGCCTGCGGACTCAAAGAGTCTCAGGTTTGATTACAGTCAAGGGCATGTACCTTGGTTGAAGGCACATCCCCAGTTGGGGTGTGCAGGAGGCAGCTGATCGATGTTTCTCTCTCATTGATGTTTATAACTATCTCTCTCCCTTCCTCTCTGTAAAAAAATCAATAAAATATATATATTTTTTAAATAGAAAGGGAATGTCCATGGTACATTATCTTCTAACAAGCAAATCCATGATGAAAACAGACCGTGCAAAGCACCGTGGATCTACTTCTGGAACGGGACACTGCCTGGCAAAGAGCCAGGGCAGGAGCTTTGGGAGGTATTCCAGAAGAAGGCATCGTTATCATAGAAGATGACAGCTCCATGCATTACCACACTGAAGCCTTCAGTGGGCAGGAAGTGGAGGTGGAAGAGGTGATCCCGGCCCTGTGTAGGCCTAAGCTAATGTGTGTGTTTGTGTCTTCGGGATTTTTGTTGTTTGTGGTTTTTAAAAAATATATATATATTTGTATTGATTTCAGAGAGGAAGAGAGGGGGAGAGATAGAAACATCAGCGATAATAGAGAATCATTGATTGACTGCCTCCTACATGCCCCCTTTACCCCCACTGGGGATAGAGACTGCAAGCTAGGCATGTGCTCTGTAAATCAAACCGCGATCTCCTGGTTCATAGGTCGATGCTTAGCTACTGAGCCATGCTGGCCTAACAGTGTCACATCCATTACAATCAGAGTTTCCCAAACTTTTGATATGTGTACCCCTTCTATAATTTTCATAACGCTGAGTACCCCTCGTACTCATGAGAACATAGAATTAGGCGGAGCTAAGCATGGTGCAGTGCATATCCCCACCAA